AGTAGCAGGACCCGATTACCTGAGCTGCTGTTGCCTCCCAGGGTTCACATTAGTAGGAAGCTGGAATTGGGGGCTGAGCTGGACTCGAACCCAGCTACCCTAATACGGAATGTGAGTATCAACCCAGTGTCTTCATCACAAGGCCAGCCAGCTGCTCGTCCTCAACCCCTCCACCCCATCTTTCTGTTCCGTGATTTTGGCATGCAACTGAGCTCCTCTAAGCCACATCAGAGATCAATGGTGGCAGATGTTAGTAAATATTGACAAGCTTTATTCAGGATTGGGATCCTCAGCCTGCAAGTATTCTCAAGAAACCTGTTGCATCCCGGAAACTTCACAAGATTCTCTAAGCAGCTGGTTTCCAGACCCTTTCCTTGGAGGCCTAGGATGCCACAGGGGTTCTTGGTGCGAAGCCCTTGTCCACTGCTTCCACCAGAGCTGCTGTTTCTGACAAGTGCCCCTAGCACTTCTTTTATGGGTGTGTTGGGGGCTAAGCTATGATTTCATTTGACAAAAAAAGAGTTCCACTGCCCTTTGTTTAAAAGCTGCCAGGGTGGGGCTGATGTTATGGCATAGCAATTAAAGCCACTACTTACAATGTCAAAATATTATATGGGTACCAGTTTGAGCCCCAGATGCTCCACTTCCCATCCAGCTCTGTGCTAATATGCCTGGGAAAGCAACAGATGGTGGCCCAGGTGCTTGGGCCCCAGCATCCACATAGGAGACCCAACTGAAGCTCCCAGCTCTGGCTTCACATTGACCCAGCTCCAGCTGTTATCCAGTTTGGTAGAGTGAACCCATTGATGGAAGATTTCTCTATCCCCCCTCCCTCTCCTCTCTCTGTAAAGACTGGAACCTGTAACTTCTGGTTCCTTGCCTGGCATTTTCACTGAAACAGGGAACTGAAATGTGTATCTGGGGAAGGTTAGCATCTTAGAAAATCAACCTTAGTACAAGACTCCTGTACCTTTCAGTGAGCCAGAAATGTGTTTAGCCAAGCCTGTGCCAGAATTCTAGCAGCAAATTTTGTGGTTGGAGAAGAGCTTGCTGTCACAGCCTTAGCCAGAGGGCTTACTTAGTCCAGTGGAACTTCCTGCAGTGATAGCAATGTTCCTTATCTGCCTGCTCCAGCCTGGCCTGGGAGCCAGGGTGACAAAGCAGCTGGCTTTGAAATTGTCTCGGATTCCAATTTAATGTATATAGCCACATGTTGCTACCATTTTGGACTGGGTCACCTTAGATGGCAGCCCCTGGTCTCTTAGTATCAAAATTATCCCAAGAATTTGTCAGAAGCACAGATTCTGGGCTTGATGCCCAGTGCCTGTGATTCAGCAGGTCTAGGATGAGCGCATTTCAAGAGCTGATCTGATTATTCTAACTTGCAGTCAGCTTGGAAATCACTGCAGTGAGAGAGCCCTTCCCTGGAGTGAATGTTACCCTTGGCCCTGCCTTCTAGGGAGCCTGGGGAATGGCACTTTCCAACATACTCTTGGAGAGTATGTTAAGGGCTGGGGACTTATCCCCTCAAAAAATTGCATGTAATTGTTCTTGCAGACTCCCCAAAGCCAGTTTCAGAACTCACACAGATCACCCACTGACTGGCCTGGGCCACCCAGGCTTTTCTTTTTTTTTTTTTTTTCTCTTTAAAGATTTATTTTAGTTGGAAGGATAGATTTATAGAAAGGAGAGAGAGAAAGATCTTCCATCCACTAGTTCATTTCCCCAAAATGGCCATAATAGCCAGAGCTGAGCTGATCCAAAATCAGGAACCAGGAGCTTCTTCCTGATCTCTCTTGCAGGTGCAGGGTCTCAAGTCTTTGGGCCATCCTCCATTGCCTGCCTTCCCAGGCCATAAGCGTGGAACTGGATGGGAGGTAGACCAGCTGGGATGCAAACTAGCACCCATATGGGATCCTGGGATTTGCAAGGGAGAGATTATCCAATTGAGCCATCATGCTGGGTCCCACTCCAGGCATTTCTGCAGGAGCTATGGAGACACCACAGAGAAGGGCACGGGTAGAATAAAATACTAAGTGAATTTGCTGCTGCCTTCCTCTTTTGCTTCCACTGTGTGCGTTCTCAGCCCTGATGCAGAGAGCAGGGCCTGGATGCGTTTGAGCCTAGTTGGCCTTCGGGAAGGTGTCCAGGCTGAGTAATGGGCCAGGAACTCAACTGGCTCTCAAAGGCAGGGGCAGAACTGGTTCTCACTTAGTCCACGCTCCCCACATGCTGCCAGAGTGGAGCACAGTGGCCAGGCTGTGAGCTGGGCGACAAGCCAGGGCCAAAGACCAGTTGGGAAGACCTCCTGGCTGGCAGCCATGCCTAATGCAGAATGCTGCTTTTGGAAGACTAGAATCCACATGGGAGTAGGAAAGGAGGGAGGTACCAAATGTGGAGATGTGAGGAAGAGAGCTGCCGCCAGGCCAAGTTGTCCCCAGAATAGCCTCTTGATCTTGGAGGCCGGCAGAGAGTCTGAGTCACTGTCATGTGGCACAGGAGAAGCTTCCCAGCTCCCAGGCTGTGAATTTGTGCCCCTGGGAGGTGAGGGCCAGCCTGTTTGCCCCATGCCCTTCTCAGGCCCAACTGCCATCTGCTGGGTCAGCGCCTCAGCAGCCTCCTCGTTCCTCTCAACCTGCCAGGCTGTGGGATGAGTCATCAGGGAAGTGCAGAGGAGTCTCTGAGCTCCGCTGCCTCAGCCTCCGCTTTTCCAGGGAGAGGGGAGCCCAGCAAGGTAATGGAGGGAGGGTGAGGGCCAGGTCAGCTGCCCAGCTAACCTCCAACATGAAGGCAGGCTCCTGCCAGCAGAGGCAGGCTGTCAGAGCCTAGGCACAGCTGGATGCCCTAGAATAGCTGGTAGCCTCATTTTTCTCATTCATCATGGGTTTCCTCTCCATGCTGGGTGCTCAGGATCCTGCCTCTCAAGGTCATGGAAAGGAACTTGTCGCCCTGTGACTCTCATTCAGCCAGCATCAATTGTCTTACCACCACCCTGCCGTGCTGGTGACTGGAGATGTGCCATGGGTAGGGCCCCAGGTACCCTCAGGAGACTTGAGGGGGAGGCGGTGGTGAGTGGGTAACACATCACAGATCCTGGATTCTCCCACATCCCAGCTGAGCAACCTTGGACATGCCTCCACTTCCTGAGGCCTCAAGTCCTTCACATAAAAAAAGAAAAGGTTAAAACCATATCAGCTCTCTGTGCACACACCTCTGCTACTGGCAGATAGATTTGGGAGTTTGTTCCCAAGATTTCGTTTCCTCTGATAAAGAGGCTGAGACAGGCAGGAGCTATAGTGGACCTTAAATTGGTTCTGTTTTGGAGGTGGACTGGATGGAGCGGGGAGGGGCAGGGAATGAAGATATAGCTCCAAGACAAACAGCCTGCCTAAGAGGCCCTCTGCCTGGTTGGCTGTCAGACACCTCTTAGCTTTGTGAATGCCTCAGGGAGCAGTGACCTGCCGGTTCAGCCTGATCAGCATCCAGCCTTCAGAGCCAAACCCAAGCATCTCTGCTGGGTCCTGGAGCTGCTCTGAGTTCATAGCCAGGAGGCTTCTAAAGGTGGAGCCAAAGGATTGGATTTAAATAGAGCTCAACAAAACCCATGGCACTCCTAGCCAAACAGCTCAGCCTGTCATGGCCATCATGGCAGGAGAAGACAGTGGACAGGTCCAGAGAGAAGGCTTCCCATGTCCTAGCTTCCTACTTTCCCCTTAACCTTTACCTTTAGGTGAGGACACACGGCTGGGGGCATTTGAGATTTGGCAACTGAAGCAGCTGTGGTTGGGGTGGAGGGAAGGTGCAACAGCCACAAAGACCACAGCCTGCCATCAGAGAGTGATTATTTCAAACTGGCCTGCTTTTGGCACCTTCTCAGGTGGGTCTAAAACAAGTCACACCCAAGAGGCGCCCTGCCCTTGAGAAAGTCCCAGATTTTAGAAAGGTTTCTGAATGGTAACGATTGGAGCTGGGTGTGGTTCTGGGTTACAACCACGCTGCCTGCTGTTTGCATGGGATTGCCCAGTCAGAGTAGAACCCAGAGACCGGTTCTTGCATTTGGTCCCTGTGTTTATGGAGGCATAGACGGGTGTGAGGGCCTCTAATACAAACTACTGCTGACTTCGCCTGAAAGAAAAATGAGAGCTGGAAACTTTGAGCTGATGAGCCTGCCCTATGAGAAGGAAGCGTGTCGGTTCCGCTGGAGCGTCACAGGCAGCTGCATCTTAAGAAAGGAGCCAAGGGCTGAGTGCCATTTGCGTGCTTTTAGACATGTAAGACATGTAATACACAGCACCTATCCACCTCCTGCTAGGATATAAAACAAGGCCCAGATTCTCTCCACTTGGAGAAAAGCTACTGTGGACAATGTAGACTTGTCCTCTGAGAAGGCCAGCTTCTGCAGGGTCAGTGAGGTGGTGGTCTTGGGGAGGGGTCCCACGACCTGTCCTAAGGAAGTAAAGCTGCCTTCCTCACAGTCATTTGAAAAACGGGCAGTCAGGTATGTCTCCTTGTATGCTGCAGGAGTGGGCTGTGATCCTCCTTGTTGGTGTGTTCGTGTTGAGGTGCTGGTAGGACCAGGGCTAGGTACGTGTGATGAGAGATTTGACCTTTTACCTCTTAGACTGTTTGGAGAATGGTACAGGTGGCATAAAGAGGCAGAGACCTGGAGCAGGCATTCAGCACAGTGATTGACACATCATTTGGGATATCTACATCCCATATCAGTCAGCCCTGGCCCCACTCCTGATTCCAGCTTCCTGTTGAGGTACACCCTGGGAAGAGCAGGTAGTGGCTCAAGTCTTTGACCCTGCTACCAATGTGGAAGACCATGATAGAGTTCCAAGCACCTAGCCTTAGCCTGATCCCAGCTGTTGTGGGAGTGAACCAGCAGATGGCTTTCAAATGCAACAACAGAGACCTTTTGTCTTCTGAGTTTCTCTAGCCCAGTCTTTGCAAGGTCTGGGATTGCGAGTGACCTGCTCTGTGTTTGTCTCCCCCAGCGTGAGCACAGCCTGGGAGATGGCAGTGATGGAAACAGCCTGCCCGGGCGCCCCTGGCTCCACAGTCGGCCAGCAGAAGGAGCTCGCCCAAGCCAAGGAGAAGACGCAGTCACTGGGGAAGAAGCAGAGCTCCCTCCTTCATCTTGAGGCCGTGGAGAAGAACCCTGTGTTCTGCGGAAAGTGGGAGGCCCTGAATGATGTGATTACCAAAGGCACAGCCAAAGAAGGCTCTGGGGGCGGGCTGGCCGCCATCTCCATCATCGCCCAGGCTGAATGTAAGGGCCTGGCTTGTGGGCACAGGGGCAGGTGATGGGCAGGACACAGGGGAGGCCAGGCTTGCTGTCTCTTATGAAAGGAAAGGATCAAGGTGACCAGTAGACAGAATTCTCCCAAGACATAGCCATGGCCCAGAATTAGTGTGAAATAAATGGGTGATGTGAGGACCAGAATTTGCACCCGTGATGACTAGAACAGGGAGCAGCACTGATAGGCAGGTAACTTGGGGGCTCTTTGCAGGATCATCAAGAGTGCCAGTAACCTTGAGCGGCCCCAGCCAGGAAGGTCAGGCCTTCTGGAAACCCCACTGGGACCTGTAGGTCCTTTGCCACCTTCCACCTAGGTGTGCCCCTGCCCCCAGTCCAGCACCACAACCACCAGAGAGATACCGCTAGGAACCCCAGAGATACCGGACCTGGTGCTTTCAGCTTCTACTCACAGCATCTCAAAAGGATAGGCATTGGAGGGAGGGCCAGGGAAGACCAGGAGTCTCAGACACCTGGCACCTAACCCCAGAAGTTTCTAGGGCCTGACGGTGAGCAGTAACCCAAGCAGCCTTCCTCTCCTGCTTGCCGCTGTTTGCTTGCTGAAGGAGATGGTGAAAACGGGGCAAGCTGTGTAATAAAGGCTGTGTGTAGATCCATACACACTCACATCTGTTCTTGTGTAGAACACACATGTTCATACTGTAGACCTGCAGTAGCTTCCTAGTACACTGACAGAGCTGTGGCTCTTTACCAGGCACTGTGGCATGTAAACTGTACAGACTGCCTCATGTAAGCACCACAGTAAGAGAAATGAGGTGGGCACCCTTTGATCCCCAGATTCTCAGCATCCCTGCTGCTTCTGACTGTGAAGCTTGGAGGAGTGTCTGATGTCTACTGAAAGAAGGAGGCCTGGGTCTGGAGGGAGAGGAAGACTGGAACATGCACCTCCTGCTGCTGAATTTCCTTTCCTTCTCTCTGCAAACTCACCCTCTTTCCGTTTGTTTCAAAGGTGAGAACAGCCAAGAGTTCAGCCCCACCTTTTCTGAACGTATTTTCATCGCAGGATCAAAACAGTACAGGTAAGAAGGCCTGCTGGGCAAGGCCCAGGACCTGGAATCGGTGTCCTCCCTGCCCTGCGCATGCCCAGGCTGCTCCCAGCCAGCCCTGGCTCTCTCCTCCAACACCTGTGGCTCAGCTCTTGGCGCACACCCAGGCTTTCCTGGCTGAACTGCTCTCTCAGCCAAATAAGCCTTTCCGAAGCTTTTCAGGGCACGCAGATGACTGCCTCTGGGTCCCGTCAGCCTGACATTTTATTTTTATTCTCTGCCGAGTCCTTGAGGCACCCCTGGTTTCCCATAAGCAGGGAGGGTGCTGGGAACAGGAGCCACTTCCCACTGATACATGCAGACACAGGGTAGGGAGTCAGGTTGTGGAGGCAGGGAGCAGGCACGCGGGGGAGTATGGGTACGACTGGCTGATCCTAGCTCCCTCTGCCCTCTCCCAGAGACAATTTTTGCCCATTGAGGGTTCAGTCTAGAGATGCTTCTGTCCCCCAGCCGTAGGCTGGCTTCTTTACCACTGTGATCCGGAAGCTGCTGCTTATAGCAAGGTGCCACTGGGAACCCAGGAAGCTTCAGACTCTGGCTGAGTTCCTCACAGAGAAGGGACTTCACCATTCCCAGGCCTGGGGGAGCCTGCCTCCTTTGTAGGGCAGAAGGTGAGGTCCAGGGAGGGTGACAGAGGCTGTGGTCTGCTACACACCACATTCAGAGATTCTCCACATTCAGTCCCTTTCCTAACTGACAGTGGTGGGCAGAGGCCTCTGAGCAGACTCCCTGCTCCCCAGGCACTAGGCAGGCAGGCAGCTCCTGGGTACCTACTGGATAATATGAGTGACAGCGACTACTCCTACCAGTCAGAGCTGAGCACACCCCGGATGAGCCTGACCTCTTGCTAGGAGCCCTCCTGGAGAGAGTGCCGAGAGGTCCATGTCTCTGCTGGCCCCCTTGAGAGAACTGGGTCCTAGGTACCATTTATCTGCACCTGGGCTGGGGAATGACCCTGGAGGTAGGCTTTTTAATGAACTCTTTCATTGGAACCTCACCTCCTCCCTGCATGGCAGATAAAGTTAAAGAGAAAACCGAGGTTTCCTCAAGTCTTAAGACCTTTCCCAAATTTGCATGTCACATGATGGGAGAGTGTCTCATAACATTGTTATACAGCCCTGTGACTTTGTAGCAACCCAGGTTTGTGTGAGCATGTCAAATTCAGGCACATCTAAGACATACTGATAACAGTAAGCAACCACTATAGCCCAGAGGGACTAGACCACAGGTCTGTGAACTCCACTGCTCCCTGACCCATCCTAGCCTCCTGCTTCCCCACCCTCACCGCACCCACCTCACCTTTTTTTGACAGCCAGTCTGAGGGCCTTGATCAAATCCCCAATAATGTGGCCCATGCAACAGAAGGCAGAACAGCCCGTGTGTGCTGGAAGGGAAAGCGTCGCAGCAAAGCCCGGAAGAAACGAAAGAAGAAGAAGAGCTCCAATTCTCCGGCGCAGGCAGGGCTGGCCTTGGCCAAAGCGCGCCCCCGAACCCCCGAGCAGGAGAGCTGCACAGTCCCGGTGCAGGTGAGGCCTGCCAGCCTCTGGCCAGACCCCAGGCTCTTGGGACCTTACAAACACCTGTCCTAACACCTGTGTTTCCCCCACAGGAGGATGAGTCTCCATTAGGCACCCCATATATTAAAAACAACCCCCAGTTCACCAAGCCTCTGAAGGAACCAGACCTTGGCCAGCTCTGTTTTAAGAAATTTGGTGAGGGCCTACGGCCGGCACTGCCTCGATCGGAACTCCACAAACTGATCAGCCCCTTGCAATGTCTGAACCACGTGTGGAAGCTCCACCACCCCCAGGACGTGGGCCCCCTGCCCCAGCCACCTCACCCTTTCCCATACAACAGACTGCCCCACCCCTTCCCATTCTACCCTCTCCAGCCACGGAAACCTCAGCCCCTGGAGTCCTTCGTCCTGGGCAAGTTGGCCTGTGTAGACAGCCAGCAGTCCCTGCCTGGCCCACCGCTGGAGCCCAGCTACCTGGCCCCTGGTACCCGGGAGAAGTTCTCGGTGGAGGAATACCTGGTCCATGCCCTTCAGGGCAGCGTGAGCTCAGGCCAAGCCCACAGCCTAACCAGCCTGGCAAAGACTTGGTCGGCAGTGGGCTCCCGGCCCCGGAAGCCCAGCCCCGAAACTGAGGACTGCGAGGGGGTCCTGCTGACTGAGGTAACTAATCCCCAAAGCCCTGTCCGCCCACCCACCCATCCACCACCAGGGCCAGGCCAGACCCACTAGCAGAGCAGTAGCCAGTTTGTCACCAGCCAGACTGCGGGGATAGGTTTTCTTGCCGTCAGAGTCAGCTCATGCTTCAGGTCACAGATCAGATGATGCACTGCGCTGAGCGACAAGCAGAGTCTCCCTCGCCACCTCCAGCCTCACCTTCCATAGCCCTTCTAGTGGTTTCCATTTGCCATTCTTCTGGTTAGTCACTTCGTTATTGCTAACTCGAGTGCATTCTGTACATGTACACAGGAGACCCATGGGGGCAGCCTGAAACCATGCCTTGTGGTCCCCACACGAAAGATGAGGAAGGTCCTTGCCTGTGCCATCACCCCACCCACAGCATGTTTCTTGTCCTGAGTTTATAGGTAACTCAGGACCTTTAGGTGATTTTTGTCAAACATGAATCTGTGGACCCATTTTCCCCCTTGACTCCTGCCTCTCTTCTGTGTTGCTGCCTTTCTTCCACCTTCCAGCTTCCAAGGTCTGTCTTGTCGTCAAAGTTGCTGACAATTCCATTTCTGTCCCCCCATCTCACGTCTTGGAAGGCTTTTCATCACGAGATTGATTGGCCTTCCCCTTCGTCCTGTCAGCCCCTTTGCTCCTGGCCCCCAGAATCCTACCGTAGGCTAGAAGTCTTTCTGCCGTGACTGGCTCCCAGCCCAAAGCTTGGCTCTGGCCAGCTGAGTACCTCCTTTGTCCCTGAGCTGTCCTGTCCTCTAAAACTGCCCTCTCTCTCCTGCCACCTCAGAAACTTAAGCCACTGGACTACGAGTACCGGGAAGAAGTGCACTGGGCTACACATCAGCCCCGCCTAGGCAGGGGCTCCTTCGGAGAGGTCCACAGGATGGAGGACAAGCAAACCGGCTTCCAGTGTGCCGTCAAAAAGGTAGGCCGAGAGAGTGACACGCCAGGACTCCTGGCACAGAAGGGCAAAGGCAGGCAGGGCCCGTTGTGTTCTCTGGCTTGTGCCAGGGTAACCTAGGAGAGCTATGCTCCTGACCCTGTAGCAGAATCAGACCTTTGCTAGCCGCCCTGGGTCAGCTGGAGCTGACAAGAGCAGCCTGCCATATATACTGGCCCTGGCACTTTCCACTGGCATGCATACCTGAAAGAGGCAGGGAGGGTAGGCACACAGCCTCTGAGTGTGAACCCAGCCCGGGCTATGCTTGGTGCTAAGGCCCTTGTGGGCAAATCCAAGCCTGGAGGGTAGATGGGTCGTCACAGAGCTCATGCTGAGATTAGACCCTTAAATCTAGCACAGTACTCCCCACACTTACAGTAGTCCTAGCCACAAGATGCTTCCTGGGAAGAGGCCTGGCACTTTGGATGTTAGATTTGCCCTAGGTTCAAGTTCTGCCTGCCCGTGGCCAGGTGTGATTAGGTCGCTGCCTGATGACAGAGCCGAGATCCAGACACAGGCTGATCTGACCCTAGAGTTCAGCTCCTGTTTTCCCTTCAAGAAGGCGACAGGGAAGGAGGGTCAGAGGCCTGTAGTTCTGATTAGTACCAGAAGGCACCAACTACCCGTTCATCTCACTGATGTCAGAGCCCAGGCCCAGAGAGGAGGATGTAGCTTGCTGGCACCTCATGTTGCCAGCCCATGCAGTGTCAGTTCCTTGGCCTATGACGCGGCCCTCCTCTGCTGGAAGCCACCTCGTCCTGAGCCCCATCTTGGAACACTTATGTGGACTGTTTTCTTGGCCTGTGGTCAGGGTCAAGTGACATACTGATCCCCACAAGGAATGGACATGGCCCCCAGCCCAGCCCAGACAGTACAGAGTGGGCTCTGCCACGGTGGCCCAGGGGCCTGCGACTTCCAGGATGAGGACACAACATGAACAGACCTGGCTAACTGGGTCTGACCTTGAATTAGGGTGTCATATTGTGAATTGGGACATCACAGTATGTGTGCAGGTGTTACCCCAAACATCTGGCAAGCTCCACCCTCACCATTCCCACTGACAAAGCACAGTGCATGTGCTTGCTAGTGTGGATGGTCCTCTTACATTCAGAGGCCAGGGCTGCATCCTGACCTCCTAATCCAGTGGCGGTGCCCCTCCCCAGGCTACCAGAGAAGACCCAGCTGTCCCAGCTGAGAGGCAGTGGGAGGAGGTGAGAGAGTGTGAAGTGTCCTGGAGAGCTTAGTCACAGCTTCTCAGCTGTTACCCCTCCAAGGCCCTGCGAGTCCAGGCAACAAGATAAACAGTCCTAGCACAGTGGAAGAGGAGAAAATGCTCCACTCTGACTCTCCCACAATCAGCAAAGACACAGACTCCCTGCCCCAGAGCTGGGCCCTCTCAGGTCTGCCTTTCCCCCACCCACACCGACCCCCACTTGTAGACAGCAGCTGCTTTGTCTCAGGGGAGAAGAGGGGAGACAGTGGTAGCCCATAAGAGCTGGTAGACTTCACAGGAAGCTGTGTCCTGATGTGGGGGTAGGGACTGGGAGCTGGGCCACTGCCAGAAACCTGCCCGCACACGGGATCTGATGCTCCTGGAGGAGAAGCCAGGGCATGTAACGTGAGGTGGTGATGCCAGCTCTCCCTCACTCCTAGAATGAGTGGGGAACATCCGGTCTGTATAGGGCTGCCAAAACACCTGCAGCAAGACTCCAAATTCAGTAAATCTTCAGCAGCTAATTTTTAAGTTGCTAATTGTGTACGGCCCGAGGCTGATGTTGTAAATATCCAAATGGCACTAGACAAAGAAAGGTTCCCCTCTCCTGTTCTAAAACATTCTTGGCCTAGATCACATCATCATGGACCATTCTTTATGTCAGGGCTTAATGCAGAATTTTTTACTTTTTCAGAAGGTATTCTGTGATCTTCTAGTTATAGGCAAACATAGACTGCTATCAAAAGCATTCTCAGGCTACCAAAAAAAGTCTTCCTGTTCCCCAATCCCATTTCCGGAGGGGCCAGACCTTGAACATGACATTGTTTTCAGATTAATTGAGCCTGTATCAACCTGCAGTGGCTTTTATGGAGGGAGAGGTGGTACAGGCACAGCTCTCATGCTTTTTAGCGAATTCCTGGGACTTTGTTCCAAAGCACGTCTGTGGCACACACGTTTGTGACAGAGAAGGCTCCATATCATTTATACAATTCTCCGAGGTGCGAGTGACCCAGAGGGTGAAGGCCCTTCCATTTTAGGGTGCCTGGCTCATGCGTGGAGTTCTGGGAGCCGCCCTTTGGCTCAGTCACTGATGTGGAATAGTCTGGCCTCAGCCTGTGCCAAGTCAAATCAGCTGTCTGGGAGCACTTGCTCTGTGCCAGACGCTGTGCAGGGGATGGGGACAGAGGTATGGAACCCAGGCATGTCCTGGAGGGACTGGAGCTGCAACAGGCATTTCCGTGACGCAAAGGGGAATCCACCATCACAGTTAAGAGTGACAACAGAGTGGGCATTGAAGGGAGACTGCATGTCCATGAGGAGATGGGGCTGGGGTCCCTCCTGTGCTCTGGACACCTGTGTGTCCTGTTCTATATTAGTCGCTGTCATATAGTTCTTGTCCTGGAATCTTCCAGAGAACTTATGGAATTGCTGCTGCTACCCCACCCCCTTTGCTATTGGGATAAAATAGATGAGAATATGCAACCAAGGGAGCGTGCCAGCATCCAGGCACAGGTGTTCAATGACAGGACGTGGCTCATGGCTGTGGCAACAGATGACTGCTGGCCATGCTTCCCCCGGGGCACCCGTGAGTTTGAGGTGAGAGGTGGTGAGGACCCTGCCTGGGGAGTTCTCTCCAAGTCATCCAGCTGGCAGCCTTGGTGTCAGGTTCCCTGGCCAGGGTTCTGCTGCAATGCCTTGCACTCGGTGACCTTGCATGGGGTACTTGCCCGGGCCTCAGCTTCCTCATCTATAAAGTGGACATGATTAGGTGGGCATTTGACACAGCTTTATGGCAAGCTTCTGCTTGGGACTTCCACATCTGCAGTGGAGAGACTGGTTCAGCTTCTGGCTGCTCTGTACTTCCTGCCAATGCACCCGGGAGGTAGTGCTCACAGCTCACCATTTTCTGCCACCTGTGTGGGAAACCAGGTTGAGTTCCTGTTCCTGTCTCCTCGCTTTGGCCTGGCCAAGAGCCACGATGTAAGATCGGTCTCTCCTCTCCTTCTCTCCCTTTCAAATAAATAAAAAATAAACAATGGAGAAAATGATGCCACCATCCTATAACTTGTAAAATGTAAATAACACTTCACTTCAAACTGCCAGCATTATGGCATAGCTGGGAAAGCTGCCACCTGTGGTGGTGGCATCCCATATAGGCACTGGTTCAAGCCCTGGCTGTTCCACTTTGGATCCAGTTCCTTGTTAATGCACCTGGACAATCAGCAGATGGCCCGAGTACTAGGACGCTTGTACCCATGTGGGAAATCCAAAAGAAGCGCCTGCCTTCACCCACACCTGAAGTGAACAAACAGAAGATTTTCATTTATTCTCTGTCTCTCTAAGGAGGAGAAACAGAGAAGATCATCTTCCGTCCAGTGATTCACTCCCAAGTAGCTGCAATGGCTGGAGTTGAGCCTATCAGGAGCCAGGAGCCTCTTCTGGGTCTCCCATGCAGGTTCAGGGTTCCAAGGCTTTGGGCCATCCTCAACTGCTTTCCTAGGCCACAAGCAGGGAGCTGGATGGGAAATGGGGCTGCCTGGATTGGAACCAGCACCCATATGGGATCCCGGCACAAGCAAGGCGAGAACTTTAGCTGCTAATCTTCTGTACTGGGCCCTTTTTAAAATTTTTTTAAAGATTTATTTATTTTTTTTTTTAAAGATTTATTTTTATTATTTTCTCATTGGAAAGGCAGATATACAGAGAGGAGAGACAGAGAGGAAGATCTTCCATCCGATGATTCACTCCCCAAGTGAGCGCAACGGGCCGATACTATGCCAATCCGAAGCCAGGAGCCTCTTCCGGGTCTCCCACGCAGGTGCAGGGTCCCAAAGCCTTGGGCCGTCCTCGACTGCTTTCCCGGGCCACAGGCAGGGAGCTGGAAGGGAAGCGGGGCTGCCGGGATTAGAACCGGCGCCCATATGGGATCCCGGGTGTGCTAGGCGAGGACCTTAACCACTTGCGCCACCGCGCCGGGCCCTAAAGATTTATTTTTATTGGAAAGGTTGATTTACAGAGGGAAGGAACGACAGAGAGAAAGATCTTCCATCCACTGGTTCACTCCCCAAATGGCAGCAAAGGCTAGAGCTGAGCAGATCCAAAGCCAGGAGCCAGAAGCTTCTTCCAGGTCTCCCAAGCATGTAGCGTCCTCTACTGCTTTTCTAGGCCATAAGCAGGGAGCTGATTTGGAAATGAAATAGCTGGGACAGGAATCAGTGCCCATAGGGGATCCAAATGCTTGCAAGGGGAGTATTTGCCAATTGAGCTATCACACCAGGCCCAACATAATAAGTCTTTATGTTATAAGCTCAGTGGCCATCTGAAGGGCAGGACACAGAAATTGAAAGACTGAGTTTCCTTCCATTCTCAATGAATACCACATAACTCACAGTGGATGCCAACCTGAGCACCAGGCAGACTCTCAGCCCTCGAAGTCACAAGGGAGACCACCTCTTCTGCTGGCAGCATTCCCTCACACAGTGTCCTTCCTTCCATAACCCTGAGGGACACAGGAGCTGATTCTGTAACTGAGCCACATCCAGTGGGTAGTTCACGTAGTGCCCCACAGATGCTGGGACTCCTCAGGTGTTGCGTGTCCTCTGGCACCTGCTGGCATTTTTGGCTCTGTTTGGGTGGGGACAGGTTCATGGCAATAACCCAAATGAGCCTTCTTGGTGAATGTGTGCCAGCTTAGGTTCAAGACCTGTCAAAGCTGGAAACACAGTCACAGATCATAAGAATTGGTTAACCAGGCCAGATTCTGCATGTGACCAGAAGTGTTTCCACTGACAGGCCCAAGTTCCAAAGCTGTTTGCTGAGCTGCCAGCCTCCCTGCTGGTCCTGTTTCCAGCAGCGCCCCCTGGTGGTGCCATTTAGAGCTTCCACGAGAACCAGTGACAGCCATCAGGGAGAAGTCAGCTCAGCTAAGGGAGGAAGCTGGGAACTGGCATTTCTATCAGTCAGCAGACATGGTGCCAGCTGCCCTCCTCCCAAATCCTCACGCTGCCATGAGCATATGTCACTGTCCATCCGACTCCTCCAACCCTTTGGCTGAGGACACCCATGGTCAGTGGGGAGCATTCTTTTTGAGTGGCCACACCAGGAGCTAAGCCTGAGATGTCCATTACCTACTGCTTCCCAGCATGCCACACTGCTGCTTCCTGTTGAATGACGGGTGGGGAGAGCACCCTAGACCTGTCCTGGGGAAACAACTGCAGTCGGGACACACATACACTGCCTTGTCTGCATGAGCTTTCCAGGCCTCTACGAAAGGGAGGATGAGGACTGAGAAAAGTGCTGAGAGATGCAGAGGACACAGCACTGGTGATAGACTGTGGCCGTGTGGCCCAGAAATTACCCAGATGTTCAACTGGAGGGGGACCCGTCCTGTGTTTGGTTCTTGGGGACAGCAGCATGCAGGTAGCAGGGACAGGGAATGTATGCAGATGGTTGGTGCTGCCCAACTGTCAGGAGGCAGCTTCTGCACCAAGTGCCCTGATACTCAGGCTAGTCCCTGGGGGCCAGCAGGCTTCCTGGCTGCAGCTTCCCACTGGGAATACCAAGAGTCCGGACAGGACCCCCAAACTGGCCTGCTCCCTTCGTGCCCATTCAAGCCACCTCTGGGCCCTTGCAGGTGCGGGTCGAGGTGTTCCGAGCAGAGGAATTGATGGCTTGTGCGGGGTTGGCCTCTCCCAGAATTGTCCCCCTGTATGGAGCTGTGAGAGAAGGCCCCTGGGTCAATATCTTCATGGAACTTCTGGAAGGTAAGAGGCCCATTCTTCATTCTTCAGAATTTAAAACCATGTTTCCTCCCAAGTTGACCTTGGCTTTCAGTTAGTCCACAGCTAACCTCCCTACCCTTGACACCTGTGGGAGGGGCCATTTCCCCTACTGCCCTCGGCTGTTGTATGTGGTTTGCTGGGAGGCCTGGGGACGCCCTGTGTCCAGCCTGACCACTGGTCCCCCAGGTGGCTCACTGGGCCAGCTCATCAAGCAGAAGGGCTGTCTGCCGGAGGACCGGGCGCTTTACTACCTGGGCCAGGCCCTGGAGGGGCTGGAATACCTGCATACACGAAGGATTCTACATGGAGATGTGAAAGGTGAGGCCCTGCTCCCGATGGGCTGCTCCCACACTAGCCTGCCTGGTTGTTTCCTTGGGGAGGGCCCGAGTCAGCCTGACAGGCTGGGCCTGGGGAGAAGGGAATGGCATTTTTTGGTCCTCAACCTGACGCTGCAGTTTCCAGTGGATGGTGTTAGCTCCTACCTACTGGTGACTGCTAGGAAAGAGGGGGCAGCAGAGGAGAGTGGCACAGTCCCCAAGATGCCACCTGCCCCTGGCCTGCACTGGTGCCTTTCTCCCTTCTGTAACAAATCAGAAACCCTGCGGGCCATGCTGAGAGGATCCAGGGTGGGCCAGGGCCCAGCGTGACTCACCTGTCACTCTTCCTCCCCGACCTGGCCGGCAGCGGACAATGTGCTCCTGTCCAGCGATGGGAACCGCGCAGCCCTCTGCGACTTTGGCCATGCTGTGTGTCTTCACCCCGATGGTCTGGGGAAGTCTCTGCTCACAGGTAAGACCCGCAGGCGACGACTCCCCACCTGGTGAGAGCCAATGTTGGCTGCGTACCCAATGGGCTCTGCAGGAGGGGGGATCCATGGTGTTCTTGCTGTCTCCCAGACTCCTAAGCCCACCACCACCCTGGGTGGTTCCTGTCTTAATGGTGCATGCAGCAATGGGCGCGCATGCTCATGCTGATGATCCCATGACCAAGGCTTCTTGTTTTCTGATTATTAAAATAGTTTGTGCCCACCATAAGGTGGTTTAGCAAGAACAGTTAAATGACATAAAACAAAAGGAAAAACCCTTACCATTCCTCTGCCCAGTTTTTCCCTGTGCCCAGTTAAATTCATTATAACACAGTTTTGCCCAACTTGTTTATGTTTGTGTATATGTAGCATAATACAGAAAGGTAATTTTTTTAACATTTCTTTTTAAACAAATTTAGTTAGTTGAGAGAAAAAAGAGATCTTCCATCTACTGATTCACTCCCCAAATGGCCACAACAGCCATGGCTCAGCCAGGTGAAAGTTGGGATCCTGGAGCTTCACCACATGGGTACAAGAGCCCAGGCACTTAGGCCATCTTCTGCTGCCTGCCCAAGCAAGTTACCAGGGAGCTTGTCCAAAACTTCTCCACAAACACAGCTGCCAGTCAGCAGGGAGCAGCCATGTGACATGCTGGAAAGCAGCAGGCCTCAGAGGCAGACATCTCAGGCTTAGCTCCCAGCCTGGTCGTTCAGAGATAGCAGCTACCTGCAGTACCGGCATCCCTTATGGACACCAGTTCAAGTCCTGACTGCTCTGCTTCTGACCAAGCACTTGAGCCATATCCTGCTGTTTCACTAGGCGCTTGAGCAAGGAGCTGGACTGAAAGTGTAGCAGCCGGGACATGAACCAGTGCCATATTGGATGCTGGCCTCTCTGGTGGTGGCTTATCCCATTACACCATGACAATGGCCCCTAAAATGATTGCACTGTAACCAAATGGGGGGGGCGGATCTTATATAAGTTTAGATGTTTAGTTTGGTTTTGCATCTCTATCCACAATTCCAAAATACTCCAAAATTTGAAACTCTGAGCCACTAGCCTGATACTACAAATGTAAACAGGCATGCATAATCAAACTTCACCTTAAAGCAACTTTGGTGGATTTTGTTGTTGTTGTTGTTGTTATTGTTGTTGATAGCAAAAAGTAATCTTTCCTAAGATCTAAGTAGAGCAAGGCAAAAAATGTTAAATACAAATCACCAGGAAAAAATAATTCCCATCTGCTATTGATCCTTCCGGTCTTTTTTGTGTAAACATTTTCTATAGCTTTTTTTATTCACTAGTATTTTAGAACAATCACAACAGTATTTTAGAATAATCACAACGCTTAACAACTTCATGTTAACTGTCCAGCCCCTTTCCTTCATTTTAAAGAAGAATTTTTCAATTTTGGCCATAATGGCTGAGATTGAATCAGGCTGCAACTAGTAGTCAGGAACTCCACCCACGTCTCCCACGTGGGTGCAGGAGTCCCAGTACTTGAACCATCCTCTGCTGCTTTCCCAAGTGCTGGGAGCTGGATCAGAAGTGAAGTAGCTGAGAGTTGAGCCATTGCTCAAATGGGATGTAGGTGTGAACAATAGATCGGGCCTGGCCCAGCCCAGGCCCAGTCCCAGCTCCACTCATCCTTGGCGGATATGACCCAGGAACTTCATCTTTCTAAAAGTACTTTAACCAAACAAATTCCAGGATCCTCAGGGATGAACAGGAATGGCTTTTGCCTGCTCATAGCCATCCAAGTTCACAGGCAATGTTTGCATCTTGCCCTGGTCTTCTCAGGGGACTACATCCCCGGCACGGAGACACACATGGCCCCAGAGGTGGTGATGGGCCGGCGCTGCGATGACAAGGTGGACGTGTGGAGTAGCTGCTGCATGATGCTGCACATGCTCAACGGGTGCCACCCGTGGACCCAGTACTTCCACGGGCCGCTCTGCCTCAAGGTCAGTGATACCTGGGGCTGGTCATTGGATCCAGGCTACAGACTCAAGAGCCCCATGTTGGCCCCATTTCCATGTCAGATGTGAGCAGAGGGAGGCCTTGTCATCATGGGATGTTGAGGAAATATCTAGGCTCCCAGGCAGGCCAAGCTGGCATCCTACCCTCATGGTCCTCTGCCACCCACCATCTGACAGGCTGGGCCTGGAGACTTTGGGCATCCTCCTGCCTGGACTGCCTGGGTTTCTTCTCCCTCTCTGAAGGAAATGCCCCATCCTAGGCTCTACCCCAAATCTCTCTATTTCTATTTCTCATGACAGACCTAAACACAATGTGGGGAATTCAAGGGTAGAGAGCAAGATCAGAGGCCTTGTGCTGGGAAGTCGGGGGCAGGGGGACCGCAGGCCTCACATGTCATCGTTTGGTTCACAGATTGCCAGTGAGCCTCCACCAGTGAGGGAGATCCCACCCTCTTGTGCCCCCCTCACAGCCCAGGCCATCCAAGAGGGGCTGCAGAAAGAGCCCATCCACCGAGCATCGGCTGCAAAGCTTGGGGGACAGGTCAGCCGGGCACTGCAGCAAGGTAAGAACTGGGTGTGGGCTGAACCCTCCCAGCGGGGACAGTAGAACCATCACCAAGGAGGGCCAGGGCAGGTATCAGTCAAGAACAAGGTCCTTGGCCTCTCAGCACACAGTCACTCTGGGGACATGAGTGTAGGTGCTGGGCTCAGGCTCAGGAGATAGGGAGAGGGGTTGCAGCATGTCAGGGCACTTAGTGGCGGGGATTCACACTCTTGAGGGAGCAGAGCAAGCAAAAGAAAGCTTAGGTACCACATGACAGCTGTTGGTCTGGGAGAGACAGTGGGTGGTGCCCAGTGTCGCATGGGCCAGAGGAAGCCCACATGCCAAAGGACAGGCTTTGCAGCATTGTTTGTGAGAATTGAGGGTCCACCAGTGAGAGCATGGAGGGGCAGAAGATGGGGTTGGAACCCCACAGGGCAGTTCAGGCAGATCTGAAAGCCATGCTGCTGTGGGCAAGAGGAGCCCTCAGCGTGAGACCAGGAACACGGTGTCCTGTCTGTATGTTGAAAATGGGTAACTGACAGCAACAACTTGCAGAAGCAAGATTCAAAGTCACATGAGTGTCACCAGGGGTGGCAGGAGGGAGGCAGGCGGGGAAAGCAGGCAAAGACAATCATCATGGGAGTGAAGGTATGAACCAAACTGGAGACACCAGGCCTGGCCCTCCTACAAAGGTGGTCACTCAGGTGCACGGTCCCCAGAGCAATGTCAGAGAAGGAGTGCCCTCAGGCCACACTCTCCCTGCAGAAGCAGCTGGAGACACCTGCTCAGCTATTTTATCTAGGGGCTGCACTTGTAATTCTTAACTTTGAGAGGCAGAGAGACAGACTATCCATCCCCATAGCCCACTTACTGGAGAGGCTCCCTCTGTCTCCTGCCTGCTGCCCTGGGCTGACCAAAGCTGGAGCTGGGAGCCGGGAATGCAGTCCAGGTCTCGCATAGTGGCAAAGCCAGCATCCACTGTTCCCAGATGTGCATTGGCAGAAAGCTGGAATCAGGAGCCAGAGTGGGGAATGTGCTGGAAACCAGGCACTCCCTTGTAGATGGGCAGCTTAACTGCCAGGCAAGATGCCTGCTCTCCCAGGCTTGTTTTAAAGTCTCTTGATCATTAGCAAAAGGTTTAACTAGTGCTGACTGTGTAGTTATGAAATTTCTGATATCTGGAGGAAAACGAAACAAAAGACAGAAAGGGAGTCCTCTTCCTGCCCTAACTAAACAGGCTGCCTGTCTGCTTGTCTGCCAAAGTGGGGCTTCAGTAGGGTGCCCCCGGCCCTCACCCACCCAGAGGTCATGCTGACCTGGTCCAGCAGCCCTGTGTGGGCACAGCCCCATCTCAGCCCCTTGTGTTCTTTTGCAGTGGGTGGTCTGCGGAGCCCCTGGAGAGGCGACTATAGAGAACCAAGGCCGCCCCCGCCAAACCTAGCCAGCTGTCAGCAAGCCCTGCACGCCCAGCTGGGGGAGCCCGTGTCAGGGGACACCACAGCTGGGGCCCCCAACCTTCAGACTCCACTACCACCAGAGCCACCGGAGCCCCCAGAGCCAAACAAGTCTCCTACCCTGAACTTGAGCAAGGAGGAGTCTGGCACCTGGGAACCCTTGCCTCTGTCCTCCTTGGACCCAAGCCCCGGCAGAAACCCCAGCTCACCCGAGCGGAAGGCCACCTTCCCTGAGCAGGAGCTGCAGCAGCTGGAAATAGGTACGGGAACTTCTGCCATAGCACAGGTACACACAACACACACACACTGCATCAGAGCAGACACTGTCACAATCACACACACACACACACACACACACACACTGCATCAGAGCAGACACTGTCACAATCACACACACACACTCACACACACACCCCATCAGACCAGACACTGTCACAATCACACACACACACACACACCGCATCAGAGCAGACACTGTCACATTCACATACACACATACACCGCTGTCAGACTAAGCACTGTGACACACACGCACTGCTGTCACTATAGCGCTGTAATATATACAGTACACACCACTGTCACACCACAGCGCTGTCACACACACACATGCACACAGCTGTCAAATGCAACATGCACATGTGTGTACACACAGTACTGTCTCATATACATGTGTACCACCGGCTCACACATGCACACAGCACTGTCACATGCATATATACACACCATGACCCCCAGACCTCCAGCTTTCTGAGCCCTGGTCCTTGCCTGCCCCACAGGCCTCGGCCTCTCTAGACACAGCAGGCAGCTTTCCTCAGAGCCCCTCCCCTGCAGTGTGGGCAGAAAGAAGCCTGACAGTGTGGCCTCCAGCCTTACACCTCTCCCACCTCTCCCCAGAGTTGTTCCTGAACAGCATGTCCCAGCCGTTCTCCCTGGAGGAGCAGGAGCAGATTCTCTCATGCCTCAGTGTTGACAGCCTCTCCCTGTCAGATGACAGCGAGAAGGTGAGTTACCTGTCAGGCCCCTCCCTGTCCTGGCACGGAGTAGGTGACGCTGGCTGGGGGACAGGCTGTGTGCAAGTGGTGGGAAAAGGGCGGAGTCCTCACCAGGCCTGGGGGAACATGGCTTCCCAGAATGACCACGTGTCTTGAGCATGCTGGAATTAGGACAGGGGACTAGTATGAGGGCCAGCAGGAGTCAGGGTCTGTTCTCCCACGCAGTACTCCTACCCTCACAGCTGCACACATGCATAGCTCCTCACCTGGGGAGGGCCCTGGACTGAGTCTGCACCCACTCTGGTTTCAGAACCCATCGAAGGCCTCTCAGAGTTCACGAGACACCCTGAGCTCTGGTGTACACTCATGGGGCAGCCAAGCCGAGGCGCGGAGCTCCAGCTGGAACATGGTGCTGGCCCGGGGTCGGCCCACTGACACCCCAAGCTACTTCAACGGTACAGGCTCTGGCTGGGCTGCACGGCCTAGGGAATACAGGGAGGGCTCCTGGAGCGGTGGGAAGGGAAGAGGACAGCACCCGATATCCAGAGCGTCACATCTGGCCAGTGAGTCAGGTGCAGAGGAAAAAACTTGACGGGGCAGAGGTCTCCGCTGGTGGGATGAGGGAGGACCTTGGACCCCCAACCACTGCCCTCCTGCTCGGCAAGAGGAACAGGCTTTCCCAGCCTGAAGGTATTGACTGCCTGAGAGGCCCTACCATCAAGACCACAGCCTTGTTGTGCTGCAATGCTCCTCTGGGGTTGGAGGTTGGAAGATGAGAAAGACAGCATGCAAGTTCATAGTTCTCAAGACTGGCTGCATAGTTATAATTATGCTGCAAGGGCTTCAACACATAGTTTCCTATCTGTCCCCATGGTGATGTGTGACATCAGGACCCCATTGTCTGGTTGGACACAGTTTCAACCCAGGGGACAGCCTGGATTTTCCACTGTCCACTTTAGGAATCTTTGTGTTGCATTCCTTACTGCTTCAAATCCAAGTTGGTAAACTCCTCAGCTCTTAGCAACATGCAGGGCCAACACACTCAGGTGTGCACAGCCAGGAAGAGCTAGCAGGTGCCTAAGATGAGGCCACCTCAGCCCAGAATTCATCTCCACCACTTTCTCACACCTGTATCTGTCTCTCTCTGTGTGTCACACACACACACACTCACACATTCCCCAGCCCCTGCCAGAGCCCTGCTTCCTGGGAAGCAAACAGCCATCCCTGACCATCACCTCGCCTACTACCTTCCAGGTGTAAAAGTCCAAATACAGTCTCTTAATGGTGAACACCTGCACATTCGAGAGTTCCACCGGGTCAAGGTGGGGGACATCGCCACAGGCATCAGCAGCCAGGTAAGGGAGCAGGCACACACTTCATGGGCAGAGTCCCAAGAGCCAGGACCCTGGGCCTGCCCTCCAGGAAGAATGCAATTAGCAGTGGTGCCTGAGGGGTTCTCAGGACCTGCCTTTGGGCCAGGCAGGATTCCCCACGTCCTCCAGAATGGAAGACAGCAGTGTCCTTGGGGCTGCCTGTTGAGCTGGGAGGAGACATCTCCAAGGGTGGGAACTGTCTGAGCTGCTCTACCGGGAGGCTTTGTGGTCCTGGGCCACTGACTCAGTCCACCGGCTTCCTCCACCCCCAGATCCCTGCTGCAGCCTTCAGCCTGGTGACCAAGGACGGGCAACCCGTCGGCTACGACATGGAGGTGCCAGACTCGGGCATCGACCTGCAGTGCACGCTGGCCCCTGATGGTAGCTTCGCCTGGAGCTGGAGGGTCAAGCATGGGCAGCTGGAGAACAGGCCCTAACCTTGCCTTTACCTCGGGCTCCATTTTGCCCCAGCGGCCTTCCTTCTCAGTGCTGTGCAGAGACAGAGGCTCAGAGGCCTCCAGGGATCTGCCAACCCCTGGCTCAGTGGTGTGACAGGCCAGCAGCAGCCAGGGGCGGTGCAAGGGGGAGGTTCACCAATGCCTCCCAGGACTGTCCACCTGAGTCCTGCCCAAGAGATCACTCTGCACCCAGGAGGAGAACAGAGGACTTCGTGTGGGATCTTCTCTGCCTTGCTCCTGCCGAAGGAGTCAGGGCTGTTGTGGTCAGTGACCACTATAGTAGTCATGGGGTAGCACACCTGCCTGGAGCAGGAGGGGTGAGCAAGCCCCAAGCTCCCTGGCCTCCAGAAGTGAGAGAATAGCAACATCTAAGGCCCACACTGGAGTGTGCGGAATCAGAGCAGTGGCTGTGCTTCCCTTGGTTCATGAGAGACCTCTCACCCCCTACCTGACCACTTGCCCTTCCCCTCCCCCTGGTCTTTTGAGTCGAGGAGGAAAGCACCCAGTATGCCACCAGTCAGGGCACTGCAGCGCTCGGCCTGAGTGGGACTCTGGTCCAAGCAAGGGCCACAGAGGGTGACGGAGTGAAGTGCTTCTCGGCCCCAAGCGCATGCCCCTTCACTGGGCTGTGCTCCTGCCTGGAGCAGCTGGCCTAACCCTCACCCCCAGGCGGCTAACACTCACCTGTGGAAGAGAAAGGGGACAGAGGCCAAGCTGTCAGGGACAGCCTGCAGGTGGGGTACACCAGATGCGAAAGAGAGCAGCAGACACCAATGCTAACACCCCCTAGGCCATGTACTCAGCCTCTAGCTCACCAGCTCCCTGGACACACTCGCGCTGGCCCTGGCCAGCGTGCCACCAGCTCCACTTTGCACTCTAATGACCCCAAAGCACTTTCTTGGCCACCCTCCACAAGGCAAGCCAGGGGCCCTGTGTGGACACAGGCAGGCAAGGGGATGGGTCAGAGGGCCTCAGGCTTGCCTGGTGCATGGGACTCCCATGAGCACCCTTCTCCATCACCCAGCCACACCTGTCTAGGGGCGCCACTCAGGACTCATGTAGCATTAAATCAACTGTGAATTGCTGGGGGCAGGCACCTGCGGCATGCCTTGGCAACCTCTGTCCAGCCAGCTCCGAGGCAGAGGCCGAGCCCCAGCCCCCAGCTCAGGAGGAGCTGCAGCCCCTTGGTACTGTGGAGTCTGCGGTGGAGAAAATCTTTGTGAGCAATAAAGTGTGAGGTGATGATGTGTTTCTAGCCGTGAGTGTTTCCTCTCCTGCCTTGCCTCCCTCCTGACCCGGACAGCCGCCTTTCCCTGGGGGTCTTTTAAATTATGTTCAGTCCTTGAGCAGGGGCCACTTTTCCTGCCATACCTGCAGGGTGCACCCATTCCTACCTGGGAACCATCATTCAGACCAGTTGGGGGAAATGCCCACCCAGTGGCAGCCAGGCCCTGGTCCCTGGCCGGCCAGCACACTGTGTTGTCTGCATATTGGACCACTCTGGCCCACCAGATAGCAAACAAGAACGGGTGCCTAACCAGCATAGGGCACAGTGGTTAGCTCACTGCCAAGAAACTCCAGCTCTCGTTGGAGTCCCTGATTCAAGACCAACCCAGCTCCTCTACCTCCTGTCCAGCTTCCTGCTGGTGTGCACCTCAGGAAGAGCAGGAATGGCTCAGGTCCTTGAGTCCCTGCCACCCATGGGAGAGCTCAGGGTTCGAGTTCCCGGCTCCTAACTTCAGCCTGTCCAGCCCTGGCTGTTGTGGGCACTAGGGAAGTGAACCACACAACGAAGCTTTCCTCCCCTACCCATCTCTCTTTTTGAAATTTCTGAAAAGGGTATGCTAGGCATGGACCAGGCCAGATAAAAGGCTGAGCAGTACATACCCCACACCTCCCCAGAGCCCCCACCCCTGCCTCCTGTCCCTGAGGCCTGACACCCAGGAACTCAGCCCTGCCTGGAGCCAGTGCTTTGATCATGGGGCGGTCATTTGTGAGGATGGATTTCTAAATACTTGGGGTACCTCCTCTAACCTGGCTCGGCACCCCCTACAGCTGTGACAGGCGCACACTTGCAGCTGCAGTGCCTAGACCCAGCCTGACAGAGACCAGGCTCACCTGCCTGACGCTGCTCGCCAAGATCTGCGGTGGGCAACCTACATCAAGGGGCTTTCTCGGCCACCACCAACCCAGAGCGGCTCAGCGCACAGAAACCTAAACTGCCTCCTGCCCACAACGGGGACCACAGATGGGCGGAGACATCATTGGCGCCCGCCGCCCTCCCACCAAGAGGGGTCGCAGCAGTGAGGACGTCACAGTGGCGGGGACATCACAGGCGCCGGCATCCCAACATCTCCAGCTCCCACCCCTAAGCCAAACAGCGTACAGGAGGCAGAGGGGCAGCAGCCACCAGCCGGCTCCCCGCCTCCTTGACAAATCCTCGGTCAGCATGGGGGTGACAGGTGGGAGCGGGCGGGCGCCGGGGGTCGGCGCCTGCAAGGGATGAGCGGGAGGTGGCGGGGAGGGGCGGCGGGCAGGCTGGACTCTGCCCAGGCGCCAGAAAGGAAGACACACCCGGGCAGGCTCCCCGCGCATCCCGCTAGGGATTCCCCGTCTTCAGAAAGAGCAGAGAGCTGCTATGATCAAACCACGGCCAATCCTGGCGCGCAGCGGGTTAGGGTTAGTTCCTCCACCCTGCTGCGGAGAGACGCCGGCTCCCTCCGCCCAAGTGCGCTTGGGCACCTGATCCTTCGTCCTCCTCCCTGGGCACCAGGTTGCGATGCCCAGTCCCCATGGAACTGGACTTTCTTCCCCTCCAGGGGGACGTGGGCCAGCGCCGCCATCGCGCCGAGAATCGGTCACCAGAGAGCAGCTTTCCGCTTGGCAAGGAATTGATGCAGGACCCTTACATCGGCCAGCAGCCCTGGTTGGACCCCCTCAACGCTTGCTCCAGTGCAGCTGCGAGGGGTAGGGTGATGGACAGCTAGGATTGTCCCAGAGAGCGTGCCCCAGTACAGTTGAGTTGAGGTTTGGGGTATTAAGTTGCCTTTTGCCAAAAAGGGCTTTTTAGACAAGAACAGTAAATGCAAAGGCACCAAGACACAACCAGGCTTGCCAGGAGCTTGGGGGGTCAGGCAGCAGAATGCCCAGAGAGGTGAACCAGCAGCAAATTTACCAGCTTCATTGGATACGGGGAAGGGGGCGGGGTTAAGGCAAGGCTCACCCTGGGGTCTGTGAGAGGCTCCAGAGGCAGGGAGAATGAGGTTGCTGTGGTCCCTGCTGCAGACCTAAAGGGATTACCTCATTGGAGGTGTTGCTGTAGAGTCCCCATATCTGGTTGTGTGCACTGACACCAAGGTGCTGTAAGAAAAGGGGGCATTTATTGCAGAGCAAGGAGCCAGGCAGCAACTGCTAAATCCCCCCAGGTCCCTGAAGAGTGAGAGCTGAGGGTTCCCATAGAGTACAGTTGGGGCTACAGTTGCTTCATCAGCCAGTCCTAGACCCTGGCTGGTTAGTGGTGCCCATGGCCTACTCTGGCCAGTGGCTGCCATGCCCTCTAGGGAATTTCTGATGGCCTGCTGGGCCACAGATGGTCTAGGCATTCTAACAGGGATTTGCTTCTGCCCCGGACTTGGGATACCCCTTCACAACTGGGGACGAAGCTGGCTTCTAGGGTGTTATCTATGGGAGAGGCAAAGGACCTGTTGAGTTTGGTGTTGGAACCTGCAGAGACAGCTGGGTCAAACCCCCTCAATTCAGGGAGAGAGGCTAGGCAAGGACACATAGGGCTGAAGGAGACAGGCAAGAAGCCCAGGGCCTGCCTTTCCGCACAGGCTCCAGCCTGAGGTTAAAGACAGCGTGGTAATCGGCACCACAGAGTTGGAGCCAAACACGCCTGTGTTCAGGCATGTGCTGCTGTAACAGCTGGACCTCTGTGTGAGAGAAGACTCCCCCCCAGCATCTCACAGCCACGAGGCACTTGGCACCCTGGGCAGGGCCTGGGTTCGGCCCCAGATTCTCAGCTTCCAGCATGGACAGGTCGAGATTGGCTCTGGTGTAGGGAGACAAGGAAAGAGGCCAAAGAGATGGAACAGGGATGCATCCAAGGGTGTCAGGTGACAGGGCTCTCACTTGGCTACCGGGGTCAAGGATGAATCCAGGGAGAAGGAGAGGAATATGCCAAGGGGCGAGAGGTTGGAAATAAAGATGTATGGGGATGGGGGAGGGCAGGGCAGGAAGAGGGACGTGGTACAAAAATCCCAGTGTGTGAACATGGGAAAGAAGTGGAAGTCCTTTGGTGGCAGGGACACCTGCTGAGCATGCACCTGAGGGTCAAAGGTTTAAAGTGAGCAGCACAGGCCCAGGGTCTCTTCCTGAGGGCCAGCAGGACCTCGTGCTCACTGGGGGTGGCAGGACCTGCGCCCACATGGAAGGGAGCATCATAGCATCCTGGAGAGAGGACACAGCCTGCCTCTCACAAGGGCTGCATGGAGTTTTGAGCAAGTGACTTGGAAGTCATCTTAGGGAAAGGTGTTTGCATCTGGAGTATAGGCGAGAATGGAACAGTTGAGCAGCTCTCCCGGGCATAGCCACAGGCCTGAGTAGGACTTGCAGGGTGGGGACTGTGCTCAGCCCTGCATCTTCCCCCCCACACACAAAGTTCTTGTAGCTTTCACACAGGAGCCTATGCAGATGGCTCAAGTGTGCTGAGGCACTTCAGTGTAGAAAAGAGCCGGCCCATCCCCATTTTCGCCCTCAGCATAGCTGTGGTCTTGTCATCCAGTGCTGTTCCCTGACTGGTGTCTTCTTCCTCCCTACAGGCTTGCAGGCTTGGGCTGGCTCTCATCCCAAGAGCACCAGTTCCCTGCATCATAGGCACCGCAGGCCCCAAGACGCCATTGGTTTCAGTTTTGCCAACTCCCTTTGTAGAATCAATATGCTTAGACTTAGCTTTTAAATATTTCCAGATTGGCATTGTAGCATAACAAATTAAGCCACTGCTTGGCTTGCTGGTATCCCACACTGGAGTGCCCAGATTTGAGTCGCACCTCCACTTCCCATCTAGTTTCCTGGCAGGCATGAACAAGCAGGAGAACTCTCCTAAGTGCCAGAAGAGGGTGTCTCCTGATATCTGACCGGGGTAATACCCCTCTGTTCACTGCAAGTGCCTAACTCAGTGCTGTGTGCCCAAACACCATCTTGCCTGGCATCCCTGAGTTGGCCCATCTAGGTCCATTCTCCTCTGAATTGACTCCTCTCCTCCTCAGCTAGAATGGCTTCTGGCCCCTTCTCTGCTTCCCCCATCTTCTAGAACCAGGGAAGTGTGGTCAACTTGTCAGGGTCCAAGGGCAGTGCAAGAATTGGACTGGAAGAAGGGTGGCCAGCGGCAAGCTGCTAGCTGGAAGCTCTATCTGCCAGGGTGCTCCCAAAGGCCCCTCCCACTCAGCTGAGCCAAGGTCCCCCAGCCCCAGGCTAAAGCCTGGCTGTGCCCAGGACCAGCCAGGCATGCATTGGCTCCAGGAAGAGGCCACAGCACATGATTATCCTTAGCAGTAGAATTCTGGGAGCTGCTTCTCTCGTCGGGATCCAGGGCAGACAGATGGAGTAGAAGAGGGGCTGCCAGTGGGATGAGGGCAAGAGGAGGACTCTAGCTCTGGAAGCCCTTGGAGGCAGCCCCCTGCAGCTCCTGCCCTCACCTCCTTCTCCCTACCAGGTCCCAATGGGTTTCCATGCTGCGGCCAGAAGTCAGTGGAGACTGTGGAGATACCGTAAGAACAAAGCCTCCAACCTGAACCCCAACACTCTGGACCCACTGAGCTAGATCTCCCTCCATCCTGCCCATTTCCAAATTTTCCCCATTGCCAATCTCTGGCTAGGGAAGGGGTGCTGCTACCCGCTTCTGTCTCTGCCTTCAGTCCTTGAAGTCAGAGAGGCCCACAGGGAGCATGGATGGGAGGGACCCGTTGACCCTCCTGTGCACTGACAGAGCAGTACCAGTGGGAAGGGGCAGGTGCAGCAGAAAGGAGACTCCATGGCAACCAATGGCTCACCCACAGGCACCTCTGGCGTGTCAGATCCAGCGGGGCCTGGGCAGCTGGGTGAGAGGGCATTGTCCAGGGACCTGGCCCTCGGTGAGGAGCCCATTTCTGGGCCCCAACTCTCCAGGCAAGCTGTTCTTGGTGAAAAGCAGAGTCCTGATCCTGGCTCCAACTTTGGGGAGTTGCCAGGAGCTTCCTGTCCCTCCCCCCCCCCAGCCTAATCCCTCTTCAAGGCACATGGCAGGAATGGGGGCTAGGGCAGTGAAAGAGCAGGGGTGCCTATTGAGCTCCTTCTCAAGGCAGGAGGGGTGAGGAGGGGGTGCCTCAATCCCCTCCCCCTGAAGCCACCTACCTGCCTCCTCTTGTCTTAGGAATGACTTTAGCCACCACCTGGTCAACCCGCAGGAGCTACAAGACAAAGAGGTAGAGGTGAGAGTGGGCAGAGTCACCTGCTCTGTGCAGGGGGTTAAGGGGAAGGTGCAGGTGTGGAAGGCAAGAGGCAGGGTTCTCTGGGATGAATTTCCCTAAATCCTGGCCAGCCCCTACTTCTGACCTTGCTGGGACTTAGGGCCTAGCCAGGAAGGGGCCAGCTCCACCCACCCAGATGTAGTCCCTGCCCTGCTTGGCCTTCCTGAACCAGGCACAGGTGCCCAGAGGGCAGGGCTGGAGGGGAAGGGTTGGTGACACAGAGGCCCTCCATGGCAAGGCCTCCAGTTCTCATTCCCTCACCTGTCTCTTGTACCCTTGCAGCTGGAGGCAGAGTTGATGGAACAGAATGCCCCCTATGAAGAGGACTTAGATCTGGACACGGTCCCAGACCTGGATGTGGTCTCAGAGAAAGACTTAGACATGCTGCAGCAGGAGCTGCTCCCGGCAGCCAAGCCCGACCCCGAGCCGGACCTGGAGCCCGCATGGCAGGCCATCACCCCGGAGCTGAGCAGTGAGGACACTCTGCCACAGGGCTACAAGATTGAATCCTTCCCCTCCCGCATAGAGGACTTGCCCTCGCTGCAGAGCTCGGCACAGCAGAGCTACCAGACCTTGGCATCCAGTCAGCACCGTTCCATCCGCGTGCAGACCTCCAAGCACCTCTTCTGGGCTGACAAACTCATTCAGGCCTCGGAGCACAGCCTGCAGCAGGCAATCCTCAGGCAGCAGGTCCAGCGTGGCCCAGGCCAGGGCGCCGAGGCCAGGGACACTGTTCCCAGCTCCCAGAGCGCCGATGTCTTGCCAGAGCAACCAGCCACAGAACTCCAACAGACCCCAAGCCCCAGCGTGTCCGCCAGTTCCCCACCATTGCAGGGCCTCGGTCTGGCAGAGCTGGTCAGCTTAGCTTCTTCCTTGGCCATGGCCTCCTCCAGTAAGATGGACATACCCAGTTTGGAGCAGATTGTCAAAGCTTCCCCCAAGAAGGCCGAGGAGCCTCCTCCAGAGCCGGCCCAGGCCACAGCAGAAGACAAGCCAGAGCCAGAATCATGCACAGAGACATTGCTAGAGAAAACACCTACAGGAGAGGGGCAGCAGAACGCTCAGAAGCAAGAGAACAAGACGTCCCCTGGCCATTACCTTGACTTCAGCAAGCCGGGAGTCAAGCGAGCCAACATTGAAGGGGAAGTGGTGCTTCTCCAGCCACCAGCCAGGTCCTCCCAGCTGCAGGGAGCCAGGGAAGAGTGAGTGAGGCCCCCATGCCAGGCAGCCTCCCCCTCCACCCACTCCTATTGCAGGGCAGGGTTGAGAGTGCAGGTAGAGTACAGGCAGCAGAATGAGGGGCTTGGCAGGGTGCATGTAAACTTTAGCGATAGCTGAAGCTCAGTGACCTCATAAAGGCTGCTGGGAGCCAGGTTCCAGTAGACCAGGGTGCAGCAGCAAGACCAGGGCTAGACAAAACCCTGGAACCATGGAGGGCTGGAACCATGAGCATTACAGGGCTGGGACCTGGGTTCAGCAAGAGCCATGCCAGCATCAGAGGCTCAGGCCCCGGGTGTCAGTCCTACTGAGAGCCTGGTGTCCACCAGTACTTCTGTCCAGAGGAGAAGGAGGCATGGGGCTCTCCAGAGCCATGCCCCTCACTTCTGGGGGCTGAGTGGACACAATAAGAGAGCGCCAGCCACCAGCATGGACAGCACCTCACTCCCACCACCTTCCTCTCCCCTTAGCCAGTGCCCAGGAGGAGGGCCTCTGTGACCGTGTGTCTCTTGTGTTGCAGCTCGGTGCCGGGAACCAAGAAAGGGAATCCATTATTGCTGAAAATCCATTTTAAGCTGTCGTCCCCCTCCACCCCAGAGAAATGACTAGACAAAACCAGTAAAGCCTCCAGCGCTGGCCTCGCAGACTTTTTGTGCTTATGCTCACCTGGCTGTCACCTCCCAGCCTGTTTTTGTAGGAATGTCACACACAACCACACCTCCAACCCTGTTTTTGGAGCTGCCCCAACCCCACCTGCCTGCCAAAGGCTCAGCCAGCAGCTGCTCCTGGCTACTGAGCCCCAGGGACAGCTGACCTGACCACAAGGCCAACCGGAAAGACTCCTAAGGAGCTGTGGGAGGCCTCAGTGTCTCCAACTGTGAAATGGGCTTTCAGGGCCATGTGGGGCTCACCCAATGGGGTGATCCCCCAGGCTCTGGCCTTGGGTGAGTGGAAAGCAGGTCTCAAGAGAGTTCCTGTCCCTCCACAGGGCAGGCCCAGCACAGGGGAAGGGCTCCTGCTGTCCGAGGATTTGAAGGGAGAAGAACTGAGGCTGAAGGACTGGTCCCTTAGGTGGCCCAGCCTTGGAGTTGAGTGAGCCCATGGTGACCTGCATGTCCCCACGTCATACCGAAAGGTGCATACAAACCCAGTGGACATGAATACCACATAGACACTCACCTCTCTCTCTCTCTCTCTCTCTCTCTCTCTCTCTCTTTCTCTCTCTCTCTCCCTCTCTCAAACATACACACCCCCAAGCCCTCAGGCCTCTGACCCAGTCACATGTATATGACACATCAGTATGCACATGGCTCCCAGCCTTGAGGGCCCAGGGCACAGCAGGGTGGAGAGAGGCACGAGTGAGGGAAGGGGTTGGGCATGTAGGTTCAGCTGGGCACTGATTGGCCTCATGACAGAGCCTTGCATACCCTCAGGAGCCACCCAGCCTTGGAGGCCATGCAAGGAAGGGCCTCATGTATGAACAGCTGGGCTGTTCTCGAAGGAGAAAGGGGCAGGAAGGCCAGGGGACACAGCAGTGTCAGGCAGTATCCCCTTTCTAGGACTTGGCTTCAGCTTTGTCTACTTTTTGAGAAGTTTTAAGTTTGCAACAAAGTTGAACAAAAAGTACAAGAGCTGCCATTTGCCACAGAATCCTACCAGACACAGCTGCTCCCCCACCCACAGGAAGGCATGTTTGCTACAATGGAGGGAGCTGCAATGCCCGCTCCTTCTCACAAGTTCCACAGCATCCCTCTCCTGGTGAGAGACCATCAGTGCCACCCGTGCTCACAGGGTGGTGCCCCATGCAGAAGCTCCATGCCTTCAGAGTCCCCCATGCGGCCCTGGATCTTCTTCCCTCCCTGCCCCAGAAAGCCACTGCTCTTCTAGGTCATGCTTCCTCCAGAATCAGCGGAACCCCACAGAGTGGTGACCTTTTCAGGGACCTCATCACCTTGTCACATGTGCGTCCAATCCCTCCCACCCTGGGGGGGGTGTGGAGCTTCATGGCTTGCACAGCTCATTTCCTTCTAGTGTTGAGCCATCTACCCTCTTCCAGAGGGCCTCGACTTGTCGACTGCCCCGGGAAGGACCTCTTGGTGGCTTTCCAAGCTTGGGAAGGCAAAATAAAACCACTGTAAACACGATGATTGCTAAATATGTGTGTATATATATCTCACCAACCGGGGGCCCATCCACCGCAGGGAAGGACAGCACGTCTCACCGTGCTAGGAGACATTCGGGGCCATGGTTGAGATGCTCTGCATCTGGTTCCAGCTCCCCACTAATGCATACACTGGGAGGTGGACCGGTGAACTCTCCTGGGCCCCTGCCTCCAGTGGAGACCTGGATGGAGTTCTAGGCTCCCGGCTTTGGCCTGGCCCACCAAGTCTGTTTCAGGCATTTGGGGGAGTGAAGCAGTGGCTGGAAGATCAATCTCTCTCCACCCCACACCCCCTTTCAAATAAATAATACTGTTTTAGAAACCCCACCACCCAGGCAGCCTCAGGGCTGCGGATCTGAGGCCCTGGACCAGCTGAAGAGGCTGTGACTCTGCCTTTCAGGCAGCAGAGGGCAGCAGACCAAGAGACCTCCAGCAACAAAGAGAAGGTACAGGGAACCAGCGCAGAGCAAGAAGCCCTGCCCCTCCCCTGGGTCGCAGGTGGATGGAGTCATCACTGCCCAAACCCCACCCCCCAGAAACCCCCATAGAGATAAGAGCTGGTGGGAGTATGGTGGGAAGGGCAGGGGGAAGCCATGCAGCTGCCAGCCTGAACCCGGGAGCCCTAGTGTCTGAGCCCACTAACATGTCTTCTCCTTGCCCTGAAGGTCTCCACGGAAGCCTCAGAGGCTGCTGCCACGAGAGCCAGCAGAACAACAGGCCATTGGCACACACCAAGGACTGAGCCACATGGAGTCTGTGGTGACCATGGCCATGGCGACTAAGCCGAACATGCAGAGGGCCAGAGAAGCCAAGGACCCTGCAGCAGTCATCCAGCTGGGCCAAGAGGCTGACTTTCCCAGGCAAGGGCAGGGGAGCTGCTGGCCAGCCCTGGGGGTGCTGGGTAGGGGGAGGCCTGCCTGGCCCTGGCCTCTCTCTGCAGCAGGTGCCACCCCTTTCCATCCTATCCCCCAGGGGCATCTTGACAAATGAGAACCTACAGGCCCTGACATGCCAGCAGCTAGCTGGTGAGCCACGGGCAGGAGAAAAGCTAGGAAATGCTCAGGGCACCATCTTCAGGGATGCGAGCCTTGAGGCCGTGATCACCCTAACTTGCCTTCAGTGACAGTCTAGCCTGATCACCTCTACCACCTGAGGACTCTCAGATGTGTGCAGAGGTATGCGTGTGTGCGTGTGTGCACAAGCCTTCCTCTAAAGGAAGACGCGAAAGAGAGCTTACACGAATGAAAGCATTTGAAGGACTGGAAGGATGGACAAGACAGAAAAGAAAAGGGGGGTGGGCAAAGGATGGGGCTGACTTAGGTCTGAGCCACGGGCATAGGAGCCGGAGGGCTATAGAAGAAGTCAGGCCCCAGTGCTGGCAGGTGCCCCTCTGACTCTCAACAACACCCAGTGTCTGCTCTGACTCCAGCACTCCCTGTAGGGCTGCAAACCAGACCAGCGAGTGTGACCTTGGGCTTGACTTGTGAATGTTTCTCAGATGAACTGCGCTGCAAGTCACAACATCCAGGGCACTGCAGTCCCCCCACACACCCCCGTGCACCACAGCAGGCAGCCCCAAGCCCTGGTGGGCAGCTCACCCCTTGGCTTGCCCCCAACGCGCCCTCAGCTTTCCAGGACGTCTTCAGCCTATTTAGCTCCGGCCTGACCCACACAGTGGACATGCGCAGCATGAAGCTAGCCCTGCACAGCGCGGGCATCCAGCTGAGTCCAAGGGGATGTGCGAGACTCTTTTTGAGTTTCCTCCTCCAGGAAGTCTGCCCTATCAACACACCTCCTTACCTCACAGCTCCTGCGGCTGTGGTCCCCCTCAGCCTGCCTTGGGGCTCCCTGGGAGAAAAGCACTCCTTACCCCCACCCACACTGGGGTCCACCCGCAACTTTTTCCAGCACCTGCTATTGCTGACAAACCCCTCTCTTCCACCCAGCGGATGGGGTCATCAGCTTCAAAGACTTTCTGGGTGTCCTCACCGATGACCACCGCTTGGCTCAGTGTATGGGTGAGGAGCAAGGCTGGGAACACACACCCCAGGGGGGTCTGGCCTAGAGGAAGCCTGCCCCATGCTGTGTGCCCAGACCTGGTGAGAAGCAGCCAAGTGCAGGACCCCGAGGGCCTGCAAACCTTGTTCTTAGAGATGCTATTCAAGTCGCTCTCCCAGAGCCTGGTGGCCTCCAAGTCCCGCCAGGAGATGATAAGATGAGCTTCAGAGCGCAGGGCTCCGCCTCAGGCACACCCCGCCCCCAAGCCGGGCTGGTTTCCTTTCCTTGACCCAGGCCAAACTTGAGTGGCTTCCTGCCCCACTGCTGCCGTTTCCTCCATCGTAAGATGGAGAGAGTTGCAGTGTGGAATCTAATGCGGGAACACCGCCCTTCTTCTCCAAGCTGCTTCTGAAAGAAGCCACTGGCCCTGCGAGGCACCCTGGGCTGCAAGGAAGGGTCACGCAGTCAGGACCACTGCTCGCGCGCACGCGCAGGTCTCAACTTCTTCTGCCAAACCACACGCCTCATCGGCCTCTCTAGCACAGAGCTGGCGCGCTCGCTGCACTGACTGCAGCAGGCGGATGCGCCCGACCCGGGCGGGGAGGAGCCCGCAGGAGGAAGCCCCCTCAACTACACAGAACCCCCCAGTCCCGCCTCCGGCTCAGGAAGACCCGCAGCCAGGACTGAATCCTCCTCAGCCTCTCCCCACGTGCCTGCCTCAGGTACGCGCAGCCCCTATTCTCAGATACCTAAACTGGCAGGGCGCCCGCAGCCGGAATGCAGGACCCAGACAAACCTCTTGCCGCCACTTCTGACTTGCCAAGCGCCACCAACTCAGCCTCCCTGGGCTCTCAGGTCTAATCTAGGGCCACTCTGTCAAGGTGAAAGCCAGGAAACGGGGCTCCGGGGACGGCCGGGGCACATGGATATGATGTGGCCAGAGAATGTAGCAGGTGCGTCAGGCGCAGCTGGAGGCGAAGGTGTGAACACAGATCCCTCACAGGCGTGACTCAGGTAGGGCAGACCCAGTAGCATGTGGAATGGGGAAACGGGGCAGGGGCAGTAACCACAGGGTCTGGCCCACAGCTGCACATTTGTGGCAAGCATCCTGTCTTCGAAGGACCCCGGGGCCAGCCACTGGTACACTGGTCCTCCTGGAAGCAGCCTCGCTCCCCGCTGAGGCTGATGCAAAAGCAGCCCTGGGCCCTTTCACCCACCTGGCTGCAGCGACCACCGACCACCGATGAGGATCTGGCACAGACAAAGCGTTTGCTGAGCAGAACCAGCTGCGTGCGGTGTAGGGGCGGGAAGGCACGGACACAGGTCTTCTGCAAACATCTTTATTCATTTCGTATAAAAATAAGGTCCGAGGGGTGTTCTTGGGGCACGCGCTGCGGTGAGGTGTACTTTACAATTTACAGGCCGGGTTCCCGCCAACTGCAGCTCTCGGAGGGGCGGTGGGGAGCGCCGCAGGCAGGCAGCCAAAGGCCAATGAGAAGAAACAGCATTGGCCCCTTTGCAGGAGCGTCCTGGGGCGGCCTGGAAGCCAACTGGCGAGCTTCAGCCTGCCCACAGCTCCCCCTCTACGCATCCCACTGCAGAATTCACCTGCAGAAACGGCGGCTACACTGAGAGGTCCGTGGTGACCTGCAACTGGGGTCTCCTACGAGCGCTGCGGCGGCCGGTGTCAGAACGGATGTATGGCTGGTTGCGCAGGTCTGAGAGCAAGAAGAGACATGTGGGCCCTTCCGGGGGGCGCCCCAGGGTACAGGGCACCCTTCTCAAGAACCAGGTGGTAGGCTCCTGGGAGGAGGCACTGTTGGACAGTCTCGCCCTCTCGGGTACCCCAGGCATGCAGCAGCCCAGGCCAGGGCAACCGGACTTATATCCCCCACCCCCAACCCTACTCCAGGCCTGTGGCACAGCCATAGGATGCCAGGCTGGCAGGGTACCTGGGGGCTAGAGGGGTACTTCCTCGCCCAGGCTGGCCTCACAGAGGAGCCGGGATGTCCGCTTGCCAGTGCGGGCCGTGAAGGGCACTGTCTTGAGCACTGAAGGGATGGGAGGAGGTGGGGGATAGAGGGGAACAGAAAGGAAAACGGAAAGAGAAAAACAGAAAAGGTAGCAAAGGCACGAGGCAGTCGGACACCCCCTTCCGCCCAGGGGAGCAGCGCTCAGAGGCTAGCACAGCAGGACAGTCTGACCAGATCGGAGGCCCAGCCCACCCTCACCTGTGATAATGTCCTCAATGGCCCCGTCTCGGTCACTCTCGTAGATGAGCGGCTCTTTCTGCTGCTTCCTCTTCAGCTCAGAGATGAGGTCCATCTGTTGTCGCCGAGCCTTGGGTGGGGACTGGGGACAGCAGAACCTCAGCTCCAGGATGCCCCACCCTACGACCCAAGGCGCCCCCAGTTCCAGGATGTTCTGCCACCACTGTCCCGGAACCAGCACCACCCCCAACCCTGAGCAAGGACCACTCTTTTCCTGCCCTTGGGCAGTGTCTGTCCCTAGCAGTGTGGGGGGGGTTACAACAGGGACACCACACTGGGGCCGCTGCAGGCTTGCTCCCAGGGACAGCTGCTCACCTTGGGTGCCGGGGTTTCCTCCTTGCCCTGCAGGTCAGCACCCGCCTCCTGGGCAGCAGCTTCTTTCTTCCACTGCTCCACCTCCTGCTCGGCTTTCTGGAGTACCCAGGCAGGTAAGGACAGTGGGTAAGGACAATGTTCCTTGTTTGCCCACCCTTCCTGCAGGCCCTGTGCACAGGCCAGAGCACCACACCCCCAGGGCTCCAAGCCCTTTCTCAGGCCCACATACCTTGTAGGCTTTGGTGAAGCGGCTGAAGAGGGAGAAGAAGGCAGAGGGAGCTGTGGTCTTGGGGTTCTCGCCAAAGTACTCCACTACCGACTCGTAGGCCTCCTGAAGGCACAGTCCCATCAGCCCGGCTCCCGCAGAGCCCAGGCAGCAGCTCCACTAGGGCTATCTCGGGTCCCAGGCTCGGGGCCCCAGCAGAGTCCACACCCCTCCAGGCCTCTAGCTGATGCTACTTGGGCAAGTCCCCCACCCCATCCCGTCCCCCTCACCTCCCACCAGGGCTACAGGGCCCGGCCAGCCCACCTGTGCGGTCTTGCTGTCAGCCTGCAGCTTGTCCATGATGGGCGAGTTGGTCTTCAGGAACTCCTTGAGCACCACACAGTCATCCTGGCGCACAAACTCCCGCTGCGTCATCTCCAGGCCCCGCTGCAGGGCGCGCACATCACCAAGGACGCTGTCCAGGGACACTGCAGGGGCAGGGAGGTAGGAGGGAGCGCAGTACAGAGTCAAGGACCCCTTCCTTGCTGATTCCCAAACCATTTCATCCCAGTGACCCCAGGGTAGAGCCCTGCCATCTACCTGAGCCCGCCTTGTCCAGAAAGTGCAGGTCGCTGTGGAAACCTGTGAGCTGCGGGTACTTCTCAGCAATGACCTTCACCAGGTAGTGCAGCAGCGTCTGCTTGCGGTCAGTCGACTTCATCTCTAGCAGCTGCACAGATACCTGCTGTAAGCCGCAGTCCACCTGCTGGACCCCGCCCCACCTCTCCCCACTCCCAGACAGGAAATCTTCCTCACCGCATCCAGACTCTGCAACCGGAAGCCATAGGCTGCCCCACGCTTGCTGCTGTTCATGTAATTGCCGAAAGCCAACACGATCTGGAAGAGTCAGGGGGTGGGAACATGAGGAGGAGAAAAGGGAGGAAAACCAGGCCCCCCACCATGCCCCTGAACCCCTTAGGTGCCTGGCACACAAAACCATGGCACATAAGGACACGCACAGCACCAGGGCACCCCTGATGTTTTCCACTGCTTGTGCTATCCAGAACTGTGTTGCCAAGCATCCCTTCCAAAGTTTGGAACCTTGGCCTTTCTCACGTCCACCATGGGTTCTCGGGCACTCCATGGCCACATGCAGCAGTACCCAGAGGTCTCAGGGATGCTTTGCTATGGTCTACCATGGCTGCTGGAGCCCATTCCCACCTACTTTAACTGTGTCCTGAGAATGAATGGCAAGAAACAGGACCATGATCTTTGCCCATCAGAGGTGGGCAAGGTCTGGGTCTCCCTCTCACACTACACAGAACGTGCAAGACAGGAATGCACCCGCCGGCTCCCAGCCCAGCACCCTCACCTCCAGGATCTGACGGAGTTTGTCTGAGGACTTGATGGACATGGAGGCTGCGATGATTGCATTCAGTTGCTGAGAGGGTGGCATGGGGACAGCAGAGTGAGTTGGAGCCTCCCCAGCTTGCCTCTGGGATCCCCAGGCCAAGAGCTGCCCCTTCCCCCTCCCCGGCCTAGGCCACAATGCCCTGCCCGCCCCGCCCACACCGGCATGAGCAGCTGGGCCGTTTCCGGGAAGTTGCCCAGGAAGGTAAGCGTAGCCATGCGCTCCGGCAGGCGTGGGATGCGGCTGAAGCGCAGCATGAAGCGGTCCTCCTCTGACAGCTCTTCCAGCGGCCGCTGCTCCCGCTCAAAGCGGGCAATGAGGCTGCGCTCGTAGTCCGTGGGCAGGAAGCGGGTCAGCAGCTCCAGGAAGTCCAGGCCAAGGGTCTGTAGATCATACCTGTGCAGACGGGGCAGGTGAGAGCAGAGTGGGCCAGCACGTCCAATGGATGCACCAAAGGCAGTATTTGCTGTTTGCCAACAGCATCACAGGAAACAGGGGTAGGAGTCGAGCAGCATAGGAAGCTAGCAAGCTCAGTTCCCCAACTCTCCTCCTTGGTAGGTGTCCACCATGATGAACAAGGGGTCAGGGACTCACAGGATGGCCCAAGGCTCTCTGGGCCAAAACGGGGACACGGCACCCTGACCAGGGCTGGCCCAATGCGCTCCCCTTAAGCTATCTGCCCAATGGGGGGACCTGGGTACTCACGTCTCGATGGCATGGCAGATGCGGTCAGCACCCAGGTTGCCCTTGCGCAGGGTGATGGCCAGGTTCTTGGCCCGGTTGGCCTCAATGAGCATCGCCTTGCTGGGCGCCTTCTGGGATGCCTTGCCCTTGAGAGCACTGAGGTCCAAGCTGGGGCCTTGGGACTTGGTCTTGAACTGCTCCTCAAACTCACTCATGTCCAGCTCCTGAGGGGGCAGAGAGAGGAGTGGGCTGAGCACCGCACTTGTTCTCAAGCTACAGAGGGAGGCTCCTAACTGGGCCAGCAACAGGGCAACCAGCCAGGAACTGAGCTTGTCCATGGTCCTGATGGGGGGGGTGTGAGGAGCACAAGGGAGCCCAACAGCACGGAGAAGCAAGAGGAGATGGCCAACCACTTAGTCCGGGGGACCAGGAAGTCAAGGCTTTCCAAGCTGATGGTTTGGCTGAAGCGGCCAGCAGGAAACAGAGGTCAGAGAAAAGCGTGCAGGTCGGAGGGACCAGCAGGGGCAAGGGGCAAGAGAACCCATCACTGCTGGAAAACCAGAGGAGGGATGAGGAAAGCTAAAGCCCTGATCTGTTTGTGGGAAGCAGGGGGCGTGGGGCATAGTGCCTAAGAGGCCAGACTGGGCAGGGCCGGTGAGGATACTGCTGCTTCCATGCCCTCCCCAGTCTCCAGACCTTCATCTGCAGAGAGGGGTGGCTGAGGAGACATCCCCCACAGTGCCCAGGAGCGCACTCCACTGCCCTGCCAGGGAGCCAGCCACCCACACTCACCTGCAGCACTTTCTCGTCGTCCAGCTCCGTGAACACAGTACCTGTGATCTGGCTGGGCTTCAGGGCCACCCAGTTCAACAGGGGCATCCGGAACTTAGTCTGGATGGGTTTCTTGGTCTTCACTCCTGGGAGGCCACAGAGTGGTAAAGCACCCTTCCATGGCAAGGCCATGTGCAGCCAGTGGGAGACCCCCAGACACAGTGTCCTGGGAGGGCACACTGAGCCCTCCCCCAAGTCCGAGGCGGATCATGCCACTCACCTACGCCCATCTCTGGACCAGGCCCTCCAGGGGCATCAGGGGGCCCTCCCGGAGGAGGCGGCGGCGGTGGGGGCGGAGGCACTAGCCCCTCAGAGCCAGGAGGCGGTGGCGGAGGGGGTGGTGGTGGCGGCTGGTCTCCTGGCAACGGCGGTGGGGGTGGGGGCTCGGGGCTGCCCGGGAGGGGTGGGGCCGCAGGGGGCGTCAAGGGCGGCGCTTCCTGCTGCTCGGGGAGGCCGGGCAGCGGGGGTGGGGGCGGTGGTGGTGGCGGCTGCGCAGCTCCTCCGGGAACCGGCTCTGCCGCAGGTGGGAGACCTGCGGCCAGGGGAGGGTCCTCTCAGTTTGTTGGATTGGGGTTGGAGAAGGATGGGTCTTCACCTCCCAGCATCCTCCCTCCGACCCCGCGCCACATGCCTACAGGCCCATTTCGGTCCGCCCGTATCCACCTGCGCCATGCCCACGATCCAAATGTTCTGCTCCCTACAGACGGGCCGCACGGGGGGCTCCCCGGGTTCCTCCCCATGCCACCCCGACCCCCTGACCTCCCTTGCTTCCCTCCCAATGCCCGGCTGCGGCCCTAGCGCCCTCACCCCTCCCTGCCGTCCCACGGAAGCTCTTGCCCACCTGGGCTGGGCACCCCCGGAGTCACCACGGCGCCTGGGAGGATCTCGATGGAGACGTCACCTCCCGGTCCCCGCAGGATGCGGATTAACCCCTTCTCCTCCAGTTCCTCCACCTTCAACTCAAGAGCCGAGGGACGCGCCGGGGCGGGGGGAGGCACTTTCTCGGGTTCGGGGGGCCGTCTAGGGGCAGTCATGGGGGTCGACTCGCTGAAGCGCTCCTGCGAGTCCCAAGAGATGGGTCAATGCCTACTAGCTAGATCCCGGGCACAAAGCTCTCCCTCTCCCCGCCCCCTTCGCTGCCAGGGAGACCCAGCCTGACGCCCCCGCAGCCTCACCCGCAGGGTCTCCAGCTCCTTGCGCGCCTGGCTGAGCTGTTTCTCCAGTTCGGCGATCTTTGCCATTGATTCGTTCTCAGCGTCCCGCAGCCGCTCTGTCAGCTGTGGCACCGGCACATGGTGAGCTAACAGCCGCGGCCAGGCACTGGCACCCCAGCTGAGGGGGCGGCAGCAGGCAGGCCTTCCTGCCTGCAGGGCCGGGGGAGGCTCCCAGATCCGCTCAGCCCACCTCCGGCAGGCTGCAACCTGGGCCCCGGTTCAGCTGAGAGAGGGCCTGGGATCTGAGTGAGTAGAGGAGAGGTCTGCCTGGGCACCTAGCTAGGTCCAAAAGCTAGAACTGCGCTGCCTGGAGCCACAGGCCTGCAGGGTCGGGGTGGTTGGGGAGAGAGGCCTAGGGGCTGGGGCTGGGCTCAAAACCGGCTCTCACCAAGGCCACCTGCTCCTGCAACTCCTCCATGTGCTCCAGCACCGCGTTCTTGGTCTCTGTGTCCTCCAGCAGGCTTCCCACGTCAAACACGTTGTCCAGGTAGGCCTGGATCTGCACCTGCAGCTTGTCGCTCTCGGTGAGCCGCAGCCTCTGTCCCCAGGTGGAAGGGGCCAAGTGAGGCTCCCTGGGGGGAGGTCTCCTCCACTAGCCCAGGGACCCTGAGGAGCTCTGACCGGCTTTGTTTTGTTATTTTATTACTGACATAAATTCACATACCATGAAGTGTTGACATGTACAAGTCAACATACGTGTTGACATGTACAAGTCAGTTGCATTGGATATTTTCACCAGATTGGGCATCAGCACTAATTCCAGAACATTCTGATGACTCTTTAATAAGGAGCCCTGGAGTGGGACTTTGACCTAGCAGTTAAGACCAACTGACAGTAGCATCCCACAGCAGAGTCTCTGGGTCCAGGCCCCAGCTGTACATCGAATCTAGCTTCCTGCTAACGGACCCACAAGGAGACAGCAGGTGATGGCTCAAGAACTTGGGTCCCTGCCTCCATCCAGCAGACCCTGACTGAGGTCCAGGCTCCTTGCCTCACTCAGCCTGGCCCGGCCCCACCGTTGCAAGCTTTTAGAAATTAACCAGCAGACCAGAGCTCTCTCAGTGTCCATCTGTCCCTCCCTCCCTTGTCTCTCTGCATTAAAAATAAACGTGTTTGGCAAGAGAAAGCCTGTGTCTATTAGCAGTCACTCCCCATTCTCTCCACTCCACTCCCGCCCACCCCACTGTCCCACCCCAGTCCCTGCAAGTCTTTGTTTCCAGGGATTCATCCACTCGAGAAAGCTTGTTTCAAAGGAACCCCTCCCATGTGGTTTATTTAAGGATTTGAAAGGTAGTTGCGGGGCTGGGGGGCGGGTAGAGGTACAAAGAGAAAGCTATTCTATCCCCTAGTTCACATTCCAAATGGTCAGGGTTGGGCCAGACCAAAGCTAGGAGCCCAGAAACTTCATCTGGGTTTCCCATGTGGGCTCAGGAGCCCAAAGATTTGGGTCATCCTCCGCTGCCCATTAGCAGGAAGCTGGATGGGAAGTGGAGCAGCTGGGACTCAATGAGGTCCCACAGGGGATGTTAGTACTTCAGGTGGCGGCTTAACTTACTATGCCGCCATATCAGCTCCTTACCTTCTATTAGTCTTGACCCTCCAAGATCCAGTCCCAAAGAGCCCACCCTTCCCGGAGGAACCAGGGGAGAAGCTGCAGCTTCTCTGCTCAGGTTGGATCTGGCAGCATCACGCTCCTCTGCCTGCCACACCCGTGACCTGGACCTAGCTGGCACAAGGCAGCCCTACTGCCACCCACTGTCTCTGGGCATCCCTTTAAGGTACTGGAACCAGAGCTTCTGCAACTGGTGTTCCCGGAGCCATCCTGAGCCTGCTGCAGTGCCTGTGACACAGCTCCACGGGCTGGAGCCTGTGCCTTACCACACACTGTTCTGTGTGACACTTAAATACCACCATGATCTCTGCGATTCCATTTTACAGATGGGAAAACTGACATGAGGAAGTCATCGAAGGTGGGATTTGAACCCAAGTCGGCCTGATCCCTACAACCATGCCACTTGCTCAGCTACACCCTGAGGGGCAGTGCAGGGCTTACCTCCAAGTATAAGTCCAGGCCCAGGTGGGTGAACTCATATTGCAGGAAGACACGGAAGTTCATGTTCTCCACTGAGTGTACCACAATGTTGATGAACTGCATACAAGCCACCTGGGGGCCAGGCACAGGAGCAGGTGCATGATGGGGTAGGGGACGCCGTGCCTTCACCCCACACACAGACTCGCCCATCTCCCACCCTATCCACAGTTCTCACTCAGCAGCCTGACTTCGTCCCTACCACTTTTTGACATGCAGTTCCCTCTGTCCAACCCTGCCCCTCAACACTTCAGTCCTGCCTGCATCAACCACTCAGCCCTCGCACTTGGCAGAGTCAGAGCCCAGACCCCCAGGCCATGGCTGTTCTCTGCATCCAGGGGGCCCCTCCGCAGGCGCCTGTGCTCACCATGAAGTCGATATTGCTGTCTTCATTCCGGAAATACTCCATCAGCTTCTCAAAGCGGTGCTGCTCCCCACACACCTGGGCAGAGAGTGGATCTCTTGCCGAGTACCCAAACCAAGCCCCACTCTCCCAGACTGTGTCTGAGTCAGACCATGTCTCTTTCTGTTTCAGGCCTCCACCCTCCACCTGGCATTGGTGCAGTGGTGGGTGCACAGCACGCCTCTTGGAAGCCTGGGTTTGTTCCCCAGCTCTGCTGTGGATCCCAGTTCCCTGCTCTTGTGCACCCTGCCAGGCGCTAGGAAATAGTTCAAGTCCATGGGTGACTCTGATGGAATTGTGGACTCCTGGCTTGGGCCTGGCTCAACCCCAGCTCAATGTGGGCATCTGAACCAGCCAACAGATCTCTGTGTATCTCTCTTTCAAAGAAAGTGACTTAAAAAGCCTCCACTGACTCAGTCTCCATACCCATGCCATCAGGCCTCACTAGCATGCAGCAATTTCCCAACCTCAGGGCCTTTGCACTGCTTGTTGGCTGCCTGGCCTGCCCTTCCCCAGCAGAACCACCTCACCCAGTCCCAGCCTTCCCTCCTCCTCCTCCTCTTTGGCCTGCCCTCCCAAGGTACTTACCATCCTCCAACGCCACATGGCACTCTGCCCCTTTGTCTCCTCACTCACCATCCCTCCTGTACCTCCTCTGAATCCCCCTCACCGATACAGCCATAATGCCACTCCTGCCGCCCCCCCCACTGTGGACACTCAATCTGAAGGAGTGAGTGACCACACCGTGCCAGATGCATCCCCTGCCTTGGGTCCAGCTCCTTGCCAACCTGGAGAGCCACAGCCAGCACCAGAAGGCTGCAAGGATCAAGTCCAGATCCCCAGAGTGGGCCCTAGGCGGTGCCCTTGCCTGACTGCACTTTCTTCCAGAATGTTCCTTTCCAGGTTGTCCTCTGGGTCCCCCTAACATCTACGGGAGATGGGGGATGTGTCTCCCAATGTTTCCAACAGGGGCCTGAGAGAACAGTGATGGGACTGGGGGAGGGGGCTGTGGTACCTCCTTGAAGTTGTCAAAGGCGGCCAGGATGATGTCATGTCCACCCCGCACTAGGCACACGGCTGCCAGCAGCTCCAGCACCAGGGCCTTGGTTCTGGGAAGATAGCACAAGTGGGCTGAGTGGGCAGGGGTGGGCCTGGCTCCACGAGGAGGAGGGAGGTCCCCCAGCTTGGGACAGAAGGACAGTGAGGGGTCCAGTGGTGTGGCCTCACCTGGGATTTTTGTTGTTAAGGCTCAGGGCGATTTCATTGACACAGGCCGGGTGGTTCATGACCAGGCTGAAGCCAGACTGCAGGGAGAGGTGTCACACGGCCTGGCATCCAGTGGCCACACGCCTAGAATGTTCTTTCTAGCCATAGCCAAAGAGCCAGCACCAGGCACCTTGGACCCTGAATTCTTGACGGCTGCCCGACGGAGGGAGGCCCAGCTTCGGCCCATCTGTCCTCCCCATCAGTCCTCCCATGAAACAGCCCAGGGGCTGTTTTGCCCCTGGCCTCGCTGCCCAGCCTTGCTTCAGCCCCACACGAGGCACCTGTCTGTCTACTCCCCCACCCGCTGCTGGCAACTCCAAGGCTCCTAGACCAGGAGGCAGCACACACTCAGGCTTCCACAACGGACCCCTCCCAGTCCCACCGGCCGCCTGACCTGGTAGTTCATGATGGCGCGCAGGCACATGATGCAGACATGTGCGTCAGCCTTCTGGCTAACGATGCGGGAGTTGCGCACGGCCTTCCTGCTGTGGCCTGGGGTCAGCCTGGGCGGGGAGTGAGGGAGGCAGTGGACAGGGCTCAGCATCCCATGCCCAGTGCCCCAAGCCCCCCACCACTCAGGTCTCCCCTGGAGTACAAGGGCACCACTGCCACCCATGAACCCAACCTAAGGCTGGTGGAAGTAAGAGGGCCACCTTGGTCCTTGGGTTCAGGGTCTGGCATGCTGGGGATTGGGGCGGGGGGCGAAAACAGGGAAGCAAGGACTTTTTTTTTAAGAGCAGCTCAGCATCAGAAAGGAATACAGGAGATCAAGCCCCAACTCGGGACACCAGCATCCCATGGCGGACACCCAGCTAATGTCCCTGGGGAAGCAACAGAAGATGACCCAAGTGCTGGGGCCCCTGCCACCCGTGTGAGAGGTGGAACAGAGTGCCAGGCTCTTGGCCAAGCCAAAACGGCTGTAAACTAGCAGGTGGAAGAAGATCTCTTTCTCCCACTCTGATTTTCAAGTAAATAACTAAATAAATATTAAAGAAAGAAAAAGAGATGGGGCCAGCCTTGTGGCATATCAGGCTAGCCCTCCACGAGTGACACTGGCATCACATATGAGCACTGGCTCCACTTCCAATCCAGCTCCATGCTAATGTGTCTGAGAAGGCAGCAGATAATGACCCAAGTGCTTGGGCCCCTGCATCCATGTGGGAGACCCATGAGAGGCTCCAGGCTCCTGGCTTTAGATCAGCTCAGCTCCAGCCATTGAAGCCATTCTCTCTCTCTCTTTATATATGTTGTATACATACATACATACATATATTATATCTCCCTCTCTCTGTAAGTCAGCCTTTCAAATAAATAAATATTTAAAAAGAAGAAGAAGGACAAGAACAAGAAGAAAAGTGAGAACTGTCTTGTGGGGAACTGTTTACAAGCAGGTAAACAAGATTGGGAGCACCCGGAGATAAAGTCCAGCAGGTGGCGCTCATAAGCACGCCGGCTCCTCCTGCGTCTGAGTTGGGAGCCCGCAGGCCTCCCCAGCTCACTACCAAGTTAGCCTCCCTTGCCTTGTTCAACCAGGCAAATAGCCCCTTTTCTGATAGGGCAGTCGGGACCAGGTGATGGGCCTGGACCTCGGCTGCCCCAAGTTAAGTGCTGTCTGAGACTGATTACTCTTTGCCAAAGAAACATATGCTGTCACATTTCCAACAATGCCCAGGCCCACCTCCACGCAGCCTCACCCACCTCCACACCTCCATCAGCCCTAACCTGCCACGTTCCCTTGCCCAGCCACACTCAGGTAGGCCCAGGCTGCCCTTCTCTGCCCCCTCGCTCTCCCTAACCCTGGGTTCCCCACTACCCCGTCCGGCCCCATGGGGCCTGGCAGCTAGTGTCACTTCTGGGGGAGTGTTCCAGGTGCCCCAGGCGGCAGAAGCCACCTCCTCCTTGGAGTTCCCTGTCACACTTCCAGGTCCCCAAGGACAGGCCTCACACCTCACACACAGTGCCAAAAACAAAAACAAACCTTGTGGCTGAATTCAGGGGTGGGGAATCCTTGTGTCAAGGCAAGGGCTTTTTGACACTTCTAAGGATCATCTTAAAGATTGGCCTGCTCTTCAGCAATAGCAACAGCATCTCAGAACTATCAAAACCACTTGACCAGAACCTTCAGTAAGTGCTGCACAACAGGGACCCTGGAATCACATCGGGTGGCTCTTCCCCATCCCTGGGAACTGAGGCCTTTGGGAGGCTGGGTGTGGTCTCTCCCATTATACTTCCCCCTTCCCCACATACAGGAAGAACAAATGTGTAAGCAATACTCTTGTCCACTTTCCCCTGATCCTTGACCCTTCCCACCCTGATCAACTATGTAAACACCATCAAACAACAAAAAACAAAAAGATTAGCCTGTTCTAGCTTTAGTCAAAGTCCTGCCTGCAGCTGTCAGTAGGAATAATCTCCCAGGCCTTACACGGCCAACCAGACATTCTCCGCCCCAGGAGCAAACCAACAAAGTGACACTGTGAGAGTATGGGGCTTCCTAGGCAGTTGTCCCTGAACCTAAGGAGGGGAGTCAGGGGTCAGCAGGGTGCTGCAGGTCATGTCCTCCCTGCCCTCCCATCCCACCCACCCCCCAATCAGCATGGCCTGGCTAGGTTAGGGGACCCAAGCCCTACCCAACCCCAGCACCAACCCAGGGAGTCAGCCAACTGTGCACCTGCCCGCCCCCAACGTGACTACGTACCGGGGAGAAGGGGGGCACCTGGAAGCCGCATGGGAGAAAACAGGGGGTTAGCTGTGCACCAGAGGAGGCCCCCAGACCCAGAACCCCAATCTCAGAGCCACTCAGATTCCAGGCTCTTGCATCCCCGCACCCCACGGGAGGTGCTTCCTCAGATCCCCATGTTAGCTACCCTCCCCGTAACTCCAAGGGCTCTGAGGGTTGGGAGCTGGCCAGATGTGGTGTGGGGCAAGGATCCCCGCCCCTGCTCCCTGCCACCCCACCTTGGGACCCACATACTTGATGGTCAGGTGCCGGCTTCTGGGAGCCGATGAGGGTGGCCCCTTGCTGAGGTCTTCCACAGACTGCTCCAGAGACTTGCTCTTCTCCGGGGCAGGGGCACCATTGTCAGTGCTGTCCATGTCATACCTGGGGACAGAAGGCAGGGCACATGGCAAAGGAGCAGGACACAGACCCACAGGAGGGCAGGTGGGCAGGTGGGTTAGGGCAAGGCTTGCCGAGCACAATGGAGGTGGGACTGATACTCCTTGTGCAGAACAGCCTTGGCAAGGAATATTGCTCAAGGCCATGTGCAGGGCTCAAGCTGCCCTGCTGGGCACCAGCTAGAGGGGGTGATGTGCTAGGAAGCCAGGGCCAAGGCCGGGAGGGCGGGGCTTACGCGACAGAGCACTGGGCGAAGGCCAGGTACTCCAGGAGCACGTCCAGGCCGCGGTTCTCTTCATTGAGGAATTCCTGCACCCACCTGCAGATCACGGCTGCCTGAGCCCCAGCCAGGACAGGGCTCTGCCCCCACTGGGGTGCCCCTCCCCCAGGAAGCCCACCAGCAAGCCCCAACCACAGAAGACTCAGGAAAGCCCAAGGATGCTGGAGGCTCGGGGATGGGGAGACCCCGGTCCAGCCACAACTGGGGTGCAGCCGAGGAGGGATCCCTGCATGGTATCAGAAGACAGACAACAGGCAGGGGGAGTAGCAAGGGGTCCCTCCTCATGGCTTGGGGGGGAGCAAATTGGTGCCCCCGCTCACCCAATGTGGTTTGTCCGCAGGGAGGTCTCCAGCTCCCGGAGCACCTGCGTGGACTCCTGAACTCGCCTCCTAAACTGGGGGGCCAGACACAGGGGTGTCTTATGCTGCTGAGGTGTGGCCTGTCACGTTCAGCCTCCCTCACCACTTCAGCAGCTCCGGGCACACCCACTCCCAGAAACCCAGAGCACACACACACACACAGACACCCAGAGCACACACACACAGACACCCAGAGCACACACACACAGAGATCATGCAAGCACATCTACCCACAGGCACACACGCATACACAGTTCCCAGGTTTAGATTTAGGGGAATTGCACACCCAAGCTCACATGCTCACACACATTCACAAACAGAAGCACACACACACAAAGCCATGACAGACAGGAAGTACACATGTTTGCTCGCACACAGGCATATCCACAAACACACTCAGCATCCGTGCCGAGGACCCTGCAACCAACTGACGCCCCGGGCGCTCAGTCCCCTGCAGACACACTCACACACACACATAGAGCTTCTCAGCCACTCAGCCTGGATGGTGAAGGAGGAAAGTGTCAGAATCAAAAGGGAGACATGTACCCCCAGATTGGACATCCAATCGGCTGCTACCTTTCGACCAACCCCACTTGTGTCCAGATAGCTCTTCAGCTTCTGGATGTAGGCGGCAGGGGGGTTCTTGACTTGAAACCGCTCCTGGGGAGAGGCAGAGTAGTGGGTTGTGGGGTGGGGGGAAGCAGCCAGGCACTCCCAGGGTAAAAGTCAGCACTAGTGCCCATCTGGCTCAGGCCCAGGTCCCACGCCTCTGAAATCCCAAAAGCAGAAACCAAACAATACCCCAGGCCACCTGCAAAGGCCCCAGTCCCTGGCCTGGCACTGTGCCCACATACCACACCCCAGCACGACCTCCAGGTGCCCTGTGGAAGGGGGCAGCCCTGCGGGAGACCTTGCCCCCAGGGACACTGAGTCCAGTGGGTACCCTCCCACTCCCTGCCCTCCCTGGACTATATAGCCTGGCGGGGGGGGGAACCCCCACTGAGGCCTCCTTCCCCAGACTTCCCCCACACCACCATCCTGTCACAGAAACTGTGTGTGTTCCTCACCTGTATCCCCCTGGACCCCACAACAGAGCCAGGGATGGGAGGTGGGGCGGGAGGGGTGCAGCTCCCATTCTAGCCAATCCTTAGTTCCAACATGTGTAAAAGCCTAGGGGCCCCAACCTGCAGGACCTCATCAGGGGACCCCACCCCCAACACAGCCCCAGACTCTGGGAGTGGTTCCTCACCCACTTCTCACGGCCAGGCCCTTACATCCGATGGCTGCCCAGCAGCAGAGTGGCCCAACCAGCCAGTCCATTAGCAGGGGCTGTGGCTCCCAGGGGAGGGAGGCGGAGGCTCCCAGCCGCAGCCTCCAGCCTGCTTCCCTGACACTACCCCGGCCAGGCTCCATCCCGTACCAACACTGGGTCCCGCCACAACAGCCAGCTGGGCAGCAGCAGAGGACGATGCATGAGCCACAGTGGGATGCTGAGCCCAGATGAGGGCCGAAGAGGAGGTTTGGAGAGAGGCCGGGGACCCAGCCCCAGCCCCGCAGGCAGTGTTCTGGCCCAGGCCCTGCCAGTTCTTTGGACCCTGCCTCTTGTGTGACTCACAGCCAAGACAGAAGGACCCACAGTCCTGCAGATGCCCCCCAGCATCCAGCCTCCTGGGCAGCTGGCACCATGGACTGCTCAGGGCTGGACACCCTGCTCGGATAAACGAAGGTAGCTGGGTCCTGAGGCACACCAACCTGGTCACAAATGAGCTCCCACTTCTTTTCATTGTCATACTGGCTTAGCAGCTGCACCTTGTCTGGAGGCAAGTTCATGCAGTCCTGGGTTGGGGAAAAGGGAGAAAAAACTGGGATCAAGTCCATGCAGCAGGGTGGGCAGGGTGGGCGGGAGAGACAGGTGGAAAGCAGTGACAAAGGGAAGACCCCTGAGCTCCCCCAGGAGCACCAGGCCCTTTACCCCAAAGTAAATGCAGGCAGGTGTGGGCGGGGCTGGGGGCGGGGCATGAAAGCAGAGTTGTCCCCTGAGGTCCCCCAGAGGAGACCTGTCCTCACACTGCACTCAAGGTTGCCTCTTGTGTTGTGCCCAAGGTGCAGCTGAGCAAGAGCCCCCTTGGGCTCCCAGCCTGCGGTCAACAGCATCAGCCAGTGGCCCATGGAGGCAGGCACAGCACCTTGCAGCCCAGCAGCTGGATCGGGTCTGCCCGGGCTCTGTCACCTGCACAGTCCGGGCCGAGGGTCTCCCAAGCCACAGACTATCTTGGCAAGGAGTGTGCCATCCCTCTCTGTAGGAGGGGCGGCCCCAGGGCAGTGAAGGGGGGATGGAATCAACACAGCCATGGAGGTGGGCGGGATTTTGGATGAAGATTCCATGGGCACTAGGGACTGTTGGCCAGCTGGGTCTGTAGGGCTGGTGCCTCAGGCTAGGACCCCTGTTAGCAGTTCAGAAAGGTCAGCAGAGCCCTGCCAGGTCCTCCCGGCTGCATGCAGCAAAGGCATGGTATCGCTGTCTCAACCAAATGGTGCCAGTGCAGGACCCAGCACGTATGCATTCCTGATGAGCCCCCAGGAAGAGTCTGGCCCACCCTTGATCCAATACCCCCAGGCTTTCTTCCCCTCAGGACAGCTCCTGGGTGTCTGAGGCATCCTCAGAGGCCAGCCCAGAGTCGGTGCACCTGGCACCAGCTTGGCGCTTGGTCTTCAGCCGTCTGTTGGCCCATCACATGGCTCTGAGCCAAGGCCCAGAGAGAACAAGAGGAGCTTCCTCTGTGTGTGGTGGGGGGTGGGTCAGGCCTAGTTCTGAGCCTCCGATCAGATCTCACCCCAAAAAATCACAGCCTGGGGTCAGCCCCAGGCGACAGGAAGCTGGCAGCTCTCAGCCCCACTGCTTCCGGCCAGCCCCACTGGAGAGGTAGCACGACTCACGCCCTGGTCCTCCAGCCAGCCAGGCTCCGCCGCTGTCCAGCCAGGGTGGGGCCGTTACACGCTCCCTCATTGCGAAACTGAGCTGGGGTACAGGAAACCAGTCCCGATGCCACAGCCAGCCCCTGCTGTGGCCACTCGGAGGGACGGCCCAGGAAGGAGCCTGGGGCTGTGGGGAGGCACCTGCTTGGTCAGGGAGGCCTCCCCTGGCTCCCTCTCCACCCGCCCCTCTCAGATCCACCCCACCCCAGAGACCAAAGGGGGTAAGACTGGGAGGAAGAGGGAAAAGGAGGGGCAATGCCAGGGACTCTGGCGCTGGGACCAGCGCAGAGACAGAGCAGAGTGGCATAGCTGAGCCCTCTCGTCTGACCGAGGTGGGTCTTTGCAGACCCTCTCCCACCCCAGCTTCACCAAGATGCAGGACCCTGTGCAGTGTGTGGGATCCTGTGTCAGGCCCTGGCCAAGACACCTGCCTGCTCACTCACCGCTGGGTCCATCTCACAGGTGAGAGTGCAGAGGCACTCAGGGACTGGCCCAAGGTTACCAACCACAACAGGGCAGAGCCCAATGACTGTGAGCCTGGCCTGGGCTTCTCCCCTCTGGGGACTGGGACCCTATCAGGACCTGGCACATCTGCCCAGCAGTGATGGGAGGCAAGGCCCCCTTGGCCCCTTCCCCACCTGGGCCTCCTCAGGCCCCTATGCGGCCTGCCAGACAGGCTAAATTTAGGCTCGGAAATCAAAAATAGCTCTGACAGCTCCGAGAGCTAATTAGCAGCTGCTCCTCAGCTGTGGCTGTGCCCACCCAGGAGCTGGGCACACCAAGGAGCGGGAGAGGGGCCGGTGGATGCCACTCACACGAGGTGGGGTAAGGCCATGGCAAAAAACAGGAAGAGATCCCCTCTCCCACCTCCACCCCCACCCCTGCTGCCGCGGCCATCAGCTGAGAGTCAGCCCGGGGGAGGACAAGCAGCCTGGCCAAGTGCTAAGTGGGACTAGCAGGAGGCTGGCTGGACAGGTATGTGTGTCCTGGGAGGAACCAGAGCTTCTAGGCCCACCCCACCCTACAGCTCTGTCACTCTCTTAGCCTCAGTTTCTCCCCCTATAAAATGGGCACAGTCTGCCACTACTTGCCACCTGGCATGCACCAAGCTCCAGGAATGCGTGAAGGGAGCTGTGCTTCCCAGGAGGAGGGAGAGAGATGGCCCAGATAGGTAGCTGCCTCCCACATCTTCCTATTAGAAGACAGGGGGTGTGCTCCCTGCCTGCTCCCACTGCCCAGGGCACCGGAGGAGACAGCCTCTGGATTTGCACTCCAAGGCCTCGCCCATAGCCCCTCCAGGACCGCTGTTGTCTGAGGCCCCTGGAGACCACAGGGATGAGGTCCACACCCTCCAGTTTCACTTTCAATTTGAGCTGCGTCAATGTCCCAACCCACCTGGCCACCTTCTTCCCAAGGGCTGGCCTTTCCAGCTCCAGGATTCCCCTGAACTTGGACGTCAGCCTAGACCTAGGCCATCTGCCCACTTCTCCCTCGTTTCCCCCACCCACCTGTCTGTGGTAAGAGCTCTCTGCCAATCTGCCCAAACAATCCATTTTATCCTCTGCTTAAAATTCTGGCCTATCGATTTTCTGAAACTCTCACAAAAGCCAGTCTAGGCTTCGAGGAAGACTGTGAGGGATCCGAGTCCTAGATCAGACGTGAGAACTCCAAAAAACTAACAGCTTCTCCCACTGAGAGCAAAGCCAAGGCTTAACAAGGCAGGAGCCGGGACACCTGGCACAAACCCTGGGCTGGCAGAAGAACATTAACCAACTCCCTCGTCATCATCACAAAACATCATCAACGCCACCATCATCATCCTCATCACCAAAGCCATCATCATCATCATCATCAGTGCTCTCAGGTCAGTGCTGTGACACAACAGCCACCCAGCAGAGACTGGACTGCCAGTTCAAATCCAGGCTGCTCCAGTTCCTATCCATCTCCCTGCTGATGCACCTGGGAAAGCAGCAGAAAATGTCCCAAGTGCCTGGGCCCTGCCCCCATATGGGAGACCTAAGCAGAACTCCTGGCTCCCAGCTGCGGCCTGGCCCAGGCCTGGAGTGAACCAGCTGATGAAGAGCTCTCTCTGCATTTCAAATAAACAAGCAAATCTCTGAACATTTGAACTGTTGTCAAACACTCTGAGAGTTCGGTGGGGTGCTTTAGAGCCGCTAACTCGTTTAAGCCACAGCAAGAAGCCTGCCGAGTAGATATTAACTCCATTTCACAAATGGCAAACTGAGGCATAAGGTTACGTGGCTTTCTCCGGGTTCACTTAGATGGAGGGCTGGAAAGAAGACCCTCATCTCCACAGGAGAAAGAGTGCAGGACAGGGCATGCAAAAAGTGGGTCGGGGGGGTCTTCGGCAGACAGCCTGGCCCCCGAGCTCCATCCCAGAGACGGTGTGGCTTCCTGCCACCCAGCACCCTGCACTTCCTGTTGTTGCCCACACTGAGCTCTTACTCACTGGGGAACCCCCCCCCCCACCGCCAGCACACCCTCTCTCAGGGGGAAGTGGAGGCCTCCCCACACCCTCCCCATGAGCACCCTGCTCCGTTAGCACCAGCACGGCCCCGCCCTCAGAGAGGTGGGCCCTCCCTCACCGGATTTCCGGCCACCGTTTTCGGTGGGGGCCCTATGGCTATTAACCTGCACCAGGGCAGGGAGGCAGGTTAGCCCAGGATGTATAAAACCCTTGTGCTCCTTGTGCATGGGTGCTCCTGGTCAGGGTGGGAGGGGCGGAGGATCTGGTCCCCTATACCTTACAGGTCAGGGAGAGAGAGACACTGCCTAGCTCCACCACTGGCCAGTGGCTGAGAGCTGTGTCTGACCCGGCCGACAGCTGCTCTGTAGAACCCTCCAGAACCCTGAGAGGCTGGCACATGCCAGCAGGACTCTGTTTACATGAAAGTTCAATGGAAACTCAGAGAGGCTGAGCAACTTGCCCAAGGTCACCCAGGCACTCATGACAAAGATGAAGCTCAACCCGCAACCCTCCCGGCCCCCAGACACCCAGGAACCTTCCGAGCCTTTCCCCTCACAGGCAGAGTGCCCAAGCCACTCTCCAGGGTTCCCGGGTCCCCAGGAGAAATGCAGAGGTGGCCCTGAGAGCAGCCACACCTGCTCCTGTCTGTTTCCGGCCCCAGATGCTACTGTGAGTCACGCCCACCACATCCCCGGCTTCCAGGGTTGACATGTGCCAGTCCTGCCTGCTGGGAATGCCACCCATGGCCTCTGCCCAGCCCCACTTCTGACCACAGGGCCATGCCACTGAAACACCCCATGTGACACACCTCAGAGGTGGGAGGCACCAGGCCTGAGCCACCTGTCCCCAAACTTCTGCCTTATCCCAGAGGAGGGAGCTGGCCTCGTGGGGCAGAATGAAGACCCCTCTCTTATTCTTCTCTACCAGCCCCTTGAGAACAGAACTCGGGGGGCCTGACCTGACCTCCCTGTACTGCCTGGCACTGGGCACAAGCTAAGGGCTCGGTGTCAGGCTCCCATCAGGCTCATTCCTGCCTGAATTGGGCAGCTTCTCAGACACCAGCAAGGCCATTAGCCAGTAACATGGCCCTGCCCTGCACCAGATCCCTCTGCCCCAGGTAGCCCCTTGCCACAGGCCTGGAGAGGGGGGGCCCTTGCCATTCTGCACAGGGGAAGGCTGCAAGGCGCTGGAAGACACCCAGCCTTGGGCACGGGCGTAGGAGAGGCGCGAGCTGGGAGCTGGGTTGGTTGGTGTCCCGCCAGCGCAGCAGGCGGTGGAGCTGGGCAGCCCTCATTCCTCTGCAGTTGCTAAGGCAGCAGCCAGAACCTTGGCTCAACCTGCTCTTTCTCCCTACCCCCATTTTAAACTGGGGGCGCCCCTATATCCTTAGCCTGCTAGAAAGGGTGCCCCCAACCATCACCTCACCCTTGTAGAGGAGAAAAGTTCCCTGCACCTCCTGCCTAGCTGTGGGCTCAGCAAGGAGGAACAGCAGCCCCCCCCAATACCAGGTAGAGAGGAGGAGTGGTGGGGGGTGGGATGTGACTCCCCATCAGGGAAGGAAGAGGTCCACAGAGGCCAACTGAGGACACAGCCGTGCTTCTCCAGTCTGGGAGAGCCTGAGGACAGCGCCCCTTGTTGTGTAGCAATCTCTGCTCCTCGTTTGACATTGACTAAGGACAGGAGTCAGCTTGGGCCCTGGGAGTGTAGTGATGGCCAGGTGCAGCCCCACCCTGAGACCTCTGGGCCACGCCTAAGGGTTAAGGCAAGTCTGTGGCAGCAACAGCTCCAGCAGAAGTCAGGCCACCATCCCCGAGCAGAGGAGGGCAGGGCAGGTTGGGGAATGGCAAGGGGTGGGATGTCTCCCTTGCTGCTGGCTTGTTAAAGGAGCCAGGGTCTCAGCTGGGAAGACCTGAGGCTGGGAAGGGTATGAACACGCAGGGATGCCTGGGAGAAGGGTGGGGGGAGCAGAGTGTGAGCTCCTGTGGGTGCTGCTGCCCCAGATTTCGACCCAACCATCTTCCTTTCCTCACCCTCTAAGACCCATCTGTGGGCCTCTCCCTTCACACCCTAAGGCCCAGCCACTCCCATTGGCATTTCGTGTGGAACTCAGCCAGTGGTAGCCACAAACCCCAGCAGGGCAAAAGCCAGGCCCCTAACGTGCATCAGAGGTGGCCACTTGACTTTCGGATTTTCCACTGGTGTGAGTTATTCACTGGGCCCCTCCCCTTCCGTATAGGGACCAGGACAGACGGGGGGCGCAAATACCACCCCCTCCCACCCATGGAAAACCACTTGGGGGGAAATAAGGGGGTGGGGGAGAGGTCCCAGGGACCTGCCACCAACTCAGGATCCCCAGATGGCCCCTACAGAGTGTCACCTCATCCTCCCCCTCCCTCATCTGCTCAACTCAGCTCTGCCAAGGCCTGAGTTTGGGAAGGAGGGAAGTGGGGGCAGATGGGGAGATGGGGAAGTGGGGGGCCAGCCTGGGGTGGGCATCCCTAGCAGCTCCCACTCTGACAGCCAGGCACACCCCATTCCTCTCCAGCAGTCTCCAGTTTGCATTTCACCTTGTGGGGGAGGGGAAGAGCAGGCAGCAGCCGCCAAGATTTTCAGGAACTGCCTGGAGGCTCTGTTTTGAGGCCATTGCAAGTGTGGCCCAATGCCTGCCTGGTCAGCAGCCGGTGGGGAAATGGTGTTCGGAGGAGGAGTCAACTCTTCTGGCTGCCTGCACCTGCCCCGCAGCCCTGCGCCTCCAGGAAGAAGCAGGGCCTTAGTGTGCGCCCCACTGTCCAGCGAGGCAATGCTGACACCAGACAGGCCACCGGGCAGTTGGTGAGAGAGGGAGCCAGGGCAGGGCTGAGCCAGGAGGGAGAAGTGAGACTCAGTGACCCTGCCCCTCCCTGCTTGTGCTGCTGTGCCACTCCAGGACCTCTGCTCTGAAGTCCCTGCCGCGTCAAATACATTCTCACTGCTCAGCCCCGAGCTGCTGGTCCACACTCCCCCAGCTCCCCAACACAGCCAGGGCAGGGAAGGGGGTTTCCAGACTCCTGCTCTACCCCAACCAAGGGGACCAGGGCATTCTGACCCCACCCTTTGGGACCTTATCAGAGCCTGGAAAGGGATGACCAAGCCAAAGCCCACCTTTGAAACGCCCCCCCCCCCCCAAATCTGGGAAGCAGAGATGGGACACAGAGCCACCAGCTAGCTGCCCAGTCTAAAAACGCATCTCCTGGCAGCCTGAGCATGAATCAGGACCAAACCCTTGTGCTCCCCAGAGGCTAAGACATAACCTTTTCTATCTTCCACACCCAGGAACACGGAGGCTACTGCTTCAGACCCGCACGAAGGCGGCTGGACCTGTGCAGGGGGAGGGGAACGCCCCGCGGCCCCGTCCCCACCATCACCCCAAGCACCCTGCTGCCAACTTAATCGCGGGACTTTTGGTAAAAGACCCTTAGACCCAGGGAGCGTGTCAGAGAAGTGGGGTGGGGGGCTCTGTGGGAGGAAGGCCAAAACCACTGCAGAAGAAAGTTTTGGGGGGAGAGTGCTAAGTCACTGAAAGAAGCCACAATCGCTGCACCCCCACCCCCAGGAGTGCCGCGGGGGGCTGGGCTCTTCACCTGGCACTCCAGCCCCCAAGGGAGGAGACGCAAGCCCAGCCGCCGCGGCCCCCCTCGCTACGGCCACACTCACCAGGACCCGTGTAAACCTCTCCTCCAGCTCTCCCGCCGCGGGCATCGGTTGCTTGGGGGCCACGGGCTGTTTGGGGGGCGGCGTGACGGGGCCCGCGGGCTGCTCGGCACTACCGGCCGCGTTGCCCATGGTGGTCCCCACCCAGTCGGCCAGGCGCCTCCAGCCTCGGAAATCCAGCTTTCCAGGGGGGGATGGAACGAGGCTCCCGACCTGGAGGGTTAGGGGCTAGCGACAGGCGACGGGGCTCGGCTCGGCTCGGCTCGGCTTGGCGGGCGCTGGTCTCAGCGGCGCGCAAGGACCAGGGCGCGGCGTCCCATCGGGGCGGCCCCGTCCGAAGGAGTCGGGAGGCGAGCTGCAGGGTGGGGGAGGAAGTCAGGCTGCAGGCCGCCGGGCCAGAGGGCCGGGCCGGGGGCAGGAAGCTGCGGCGCGGGCTCCCCCCTCGGTGATGTTCGAACTTCTGCTGTCGTTCCCCGTGCGCGCAAACCGCAGTCCTCCGCCGCGCGCCCTGCCCCTGCCCCAGGCGGGGCGGACTGCAGGGAGGGGATGGGCACCCGGGCGCGGACCGGGGGTCCCCCGGAGGCCATGGCGCGACGAGGAGGGGGCTGCCGCCCCGCTTCACCTGCCGCAGAGGGGGCGGCCGGCGCCGTTTCACCTGCCGGAGCCGGAGGCGACCAAGGCGAGGCCGAGGCGGCGGCGCGCTCCGTGGCGCCTCCGGGTCCTAGAACCGCAGCTCCAGCACCGCGGGCTACGGGGGCGTCGGCCGAGTCTGAGTAGAGGGGTCACGACCAGGGGGCGCAGAGGCACAGCTCCCGAGGGGGAGGCTTTTCAGCTATTGGGAGCACGACTTGGAGTCCCGTGGCGGTTCGGCACTAGGGCACAGGGCTACATCCCCCTCTCGGGTCCCTGCCTGAAAAGTGGAAGCCCCCTTCCAGGCCCCCCACGTCTCATCCGTTCAGTTTCGCCTGCTCGCGGAGAGCCATGGACCAAAGGGAACCATCCGCAAGCGGGAGCCCCAGTACAGGGTTTGGCAACGCGGTAGATCCAGGCCAAAAGAGACCCGCCACCCAACCAACTGTGTGACTGTGCCTGTGCGCATTGGGGCACACCCCACACTCCTGGGGGCTGTGGGATGAGGCACTCCTGGAGAAGGGCAGTCCCGGTGCCCTTTCCAGCAGCTGGGAAGCGCCAGGGTGGTCAGGAGAGCAGCAAGGACTGAGGAGGGGGGCAACCAAGCTGGAAAGGAGCAGGCGCCCTGGCCAAGGGGTGAAAGGACCCAGCGAGGTCAGCCATCCTGAAGAACAGTACTGTCTAGTCTCTGTTCATTTTAGAGACAATTCCGGGGCTCCTCCTGACATCCTCCTGATGATGCCCCAAAGTGGTAAGTGATGGAGACAGGAAACTAAGGCTTGGGGAGCCAAATGACTTGGCCAGCATGTGGCTGATCAAGGGCAGTAGAGGATGCCTTGCTGGGGCCATCCTGCCTCAGAGCTGCTGCCTGGGCTCCCCTGCCCATTTCATATAGGGGAGGGGAGGGAGAGGAGGCAGGCATAGACTCCACCCCAGCATACAGCTGTGGCCCACCCTCTCCTACTCGCAGACATACTAACAGGGCATTGTGAAGGGGAACAGTGAACAAGGCCAGGGCCTTTTAAGTGTCCGTCCATCTCCCTCCCTCAAATCCACAGCCTTTGTCAAGGTTGAAGCAGGTGCTGGCTGGTGATGGGGGATGAGCCTGCCCCTGCCCCCAGGCTGGCCTAATTGGGGTTGTTCCTTTGCCAAGGTCATCGGCAGCCCTGAAGCCTGAGGCAGGCCAGAGCCTTGTCTGCCCTTGAGATGTGCCAGGACTTTTTTTTTTTTAAAAGGAAATTCATTCTTGATTCCTCAGAAAGGTGGGTGTCTGACTGTCATTTTTAACTTGGCCTCACGTAACCCCAGCTGTGTGCCCAGCGCGGTGCTGGGTCCTGGGTGAAGTGTGCCTGTCAGAGTGCCCACGCCTTCCCTGCCCATACCCCACAGCCTGGCAGGGGCAGACACTGCAGAGGCAGGAGAGGGGCTGCCTTGGTAGGTGGGGGCAAGGCACGAGAGCCCAACAGCACAGCCTGCAGGGACCCTCCAGGGCAGCTGATTGCAGCTTGGGGAGGGGGTAGGTGTCTTGGCCATTCCTGATGCCACCCAAGACAGAGCAGAAATAAGGTTGGGCTAAGTAACACATCCTTTTAACATGCCTACATTCATTCTCTCTCGCTCTCTCTTTCCAATTGGAAATGTAAGTTACTAAAAAAAAAAAAAGGTGAAAATGCAGTCAATTGTTACTTAATAAACGTGATTGGCCTGGCAGGAATCATCTTTTCAATGATGCTCCACAAAGCAGGAAATCGTAAAAGGCTGATGGTCAACGTGGGACCAACGCTTAGGTGGGTCTGTGCTGCCCTCTTCTGGGCGGGGGCGATATGACAGCCAAGACAGGGCGAGGTCTTGTGTTGATGGATAGGCTGTTGTCACCTTGCCATCTGATGAAAGGATCTTACAGGCCCTGGGGACACTCAGGGCTCAGGGAACAGAACAGATCTTCCCATGAATCTCCTCCCTCTTCCTCCCCACTGCTGAGCAGACGCCTCTTTAAAAAAAGAAACAGCGTTACATGTACACAGCTAAGAAAAACAAGGCCCAGGCCTTTCACCATGGTTCAACTGGTTAATCCTCAACCTTCCATTGTGGAGATCCCACACAGGTGCTGATTCGGGTCCCGGCAGCCCTGCTTCCCATCCAGCTCCCTGCTTGTGGCCTGAGAAAGTGGTAGAGGACGGCCCAAAGCCTTGAGACCCTGCGCCTTTGTGGGAGACCCGGAAGAAGTTCCTGGCTCCTGACTTCGGATCGGCTCAGCTCTGGCCATTGTGGGAGTGAACCAGTGGACAGAAGGCCTTTCTATCTGCCTTATCCCCTTCTCTCCTTAAATTTGATCTGCCTTTCCAACAAAAATAATTTTTTAAATATTTTTAAATTTTTGTTGGAAAGGTAGATTTTACAGAAAGGAGATACACAAAGAAAATCTTTCCCAAGTGGATGCAATGGCTGGAGCTGAGTCAATCTGAAGCCAGGAGCAAGAAGCTTCCTTCCGGGTCTCCCATGTGGGTGGAGGGTCCTAAGACTTTGGGCCATCCTCTACTGCTTTCCTGGGCCATAGACAGAGAGCTGGATGGGAAGTGGAGCAGCCAGGGCATGAACTTGCACCCATATGGGATTCCAGTAGACACAAGACAAGGATTTTAGCCACTATATCTCATGCCAGGTGCAAAAATAAATAAGTAAAGAAATAAATAAATAAATCTTTTTTTTTTTTTTTTTAGTAAAAGAAAACGAGGCACAAAGCTTGTGTAAAGGCCATGGAATGTTTGTTTGTTTGTTTAAAGATTTATTTTATTTTTATTGGAAAGGCGGATATTCAGAGAGGAAGATCTTCCGTCCGATGATTCACTCCCCAAGTGAGCGCAACGGCCGATGCTAGGCCAATCCGAAGCCAGGAGCCTCTTCCGGGTCTCCCGCGTGGGTGCAGGGTCCCAAAGCTTTGGGCCGTCCTTGACTGCTTTTCCAGGCCACAAGCGGGGAGCTGGATGGGAAGTGGGGCCGCCGGGATTAGAACCGGCACCCATATGGGATCCCGAGCGTGCAAGGCGAGGACCTTAACCACTGCACCACCGTGCCAGGCCCTGTTTGTTTTGAGGGAGACCATCTACAGGTTTTACTCTCTTCCAATGCGTACGTGAGTCATGGCTGAGCCAGGCCTGGGCTGAGGCCAAACCTCAACCAAGAACTCAGCCAAGGAATCCAAAGAGGGTTCAGGAACCCAAATACTTGAGCCATTGCTGCTAATGCCAGTCAGGAACCAAGGGGATCAGGGTTAAGTTATGTGGCGTAACTGGCTAAGTTGCCTCCTGCAGCGCTGGCATCCCATACGGACATCAGCTCAAATCTTAGCTGCCCCATTTTTATTTTAATTTGAAAGAGGATTTATAGATAAAGAAGGAGAGACAAGACAAAGACCTTCCATCCTCTGGTTCACTCCCCAAATGGTCACAATGGTTGAAGAGGAGGATACAGGGGCCCAAGCACTTGAGCCATCTTCTGCTGTCTTCTCGCACATGAGCAGGGAGCCAGCTGAGAAATGGAGCAGCTGAGACTCACACTGGCAGACGTAGGAGATGCTGGCACCATAGGCGACGGCCTAACTGATTAGGTCACAACACCAGTCCCTGCTCTACTTATTTTTTTTTAAGATTTATTTTATTTTTATTGGAAAGCCAGATATACAGAGAGAAGGGGGTACAGACAGAAGGATCTTCTGGCTGCTGATGTACTCCCCAAGCAGCCGCAATAGCCAGAGCTGAGTTGATCCAAAGCCAGGAGCCACGACCCTCTTCTAGATCTCCCACGTGGGTAGAGTCACAAGACTATGGGCCATCCTCTACTATGTTCCCAGGCCATAAGCGGGGAGCTGGATGGGAAGTGGAGCAGCCAGGACATGAACCAGCGCCCTTATGGGAGCCCAGCAGTTGTAAGGTGAGGACTTAGCCACTAGGCTACCATGCCAGACCCCTATTAAAGCATTTTTAAAATTATTTTGAAGTTGTGTGCTTTTACACATCTGGTGGATTCTCACAAAATTGCCCTCTGAAGAGTCTCCCCCAGCCAACACCTGTTTCTGCACATCCACACAGACACGGGGCATCAACAACCTGTCGCATCCTCTATGAGATCTCCTTCCAAAGTCCTGGTCCCAGAGCAGCTCAATCTGCTTTCTTTCTCTCACACCATAGCTGCCCCCAAGGAAGGGCTGGGGTCCTCTCCATAACCGTAGTCCCAGCACAGGGATGGCCCCAGCCCTGCCTGTTGGCCAAGATACTGAACAAAGGCAAGGGGCTGTGTCACGCCAGACCTGAAGGGAGGCAGCTGAAGGCTGGCACGGGGCAGGGCCCTGCCCTTAGGGACCACTGCCTCTCTGAGTCCTGCTTGAGCCTCCACCCCACGCCCAGGACCCTCTTCCTATGAGACAAACCCCCAATCACATCCCAGGACAACTTTCCCCTCAATCTCTACTTGGTTTTTATTCATTTCAATCTAGATAACTTCACGGGAGACATCAGTAAGCCACAACAGAGCCCTGTGGAGCTGTAAAAAATAGGAGGCAGAATTCTAGGGGGAGAAAAAAGGAAGCATGGTAAGCTTATCAGGATCTATTCTGAATGTGGTACAGGGAGTAGACAACTGGCCTAACAGGTAAGACACCTGTGTCCCGGGTTCAATCCCCTTCTCTGGTTCCACACTCCAGCTTCCCACTTGGGGCTGCCCACGGAAGACAACTGGCTCAAG